TGGCACGCGGGCTCAGTAGTTGTGGCACACGGGCCTAGTTGCTCCGCGGCATGTGGGATCCTCCTAGACCAGAGCGCAAACCCGTGTCCCCTGCACTGGCAGGGGGACTCCCAATCACTGCACCACCAGGGAAGCCCCCACGCAACCTTTCATGTCTAACTCCTTTACATCTTGCCCTAAATGTCATCTCCTCATGGAGGCCTCCTTGACCAGCTCACTCAAAAGGGACCCTTTGTGTCAGACACGGCTGGTTGCAGTTCCAACATCCATCCTCCCTTGCATCCAGTTCCTTGCTAACAAGAACCCCCATTGTGATTTGTTAGCGTATTAGGCAGTCATGTGGTTTAGGAGAAGCCAGCCCTCCCCAGTCCCAGAGGTAAACTCTTGGCTCATCCAATTCCAACATTGCAATGCCATTCCTTTGCCAATGACTTGTCTAGAAATAGGCAGATGATACAATTCTGCCTAATAACTCATAGGTGGATGTCTGGTTGGGTGCTTCTGGGAAACTTTACCTAGCTCTTATAAAGGGACCCAAAACGTGACATGTCCTTTTCCTGCCTTCTGACCTTTGGTTATTGCTGTGTGAGAACATTAAGCTTGGACCTTCTACAGTCATCCTGTGACCTTGCGGGGACAAGCATGAGAAAGAAAGTCAACATCTGAAGATGGCAAAGCTGAAAGATGGAAAGATTCTGCAGCATTGATGGCCTTGGTGAGCCACTAAATTAACCAACCCCAGACCTGCTCTCCCGTGGGACTTGTTATTTGATATATTTCTTTATTGTTTGTCAGTTGAGTCCACTTTTCTATTACTTGCAATCAAGGCCTTTTTTACCGGTTCACCGTCTTCCTGTTATCTGTTTGCTTCCTCATGAAGTTAGTCAAAATTCCATATCATTTATTTCTTTGTGTACTTGTCTTTCTCTGTATATACCAGCCTCCCTTTAACCCAGAATGTAAACTCCATGAGGACAGGGGCCTTCTCCATCTTCTGCATCACTTATCCCCAATGTCTAGCGTGACACAAGAGGCCTCCAAAATATGTGTTAAATGAAGAAAAAGAGATGCTTTTCTATAATTATTTGCTTAATTACCACCCTTCCCATGTTAGCAATGAGCCTGGCAGTAGAATCAACCTTCGTTTACTTATTACTTACAGATCACACATTCCCACAGCTTGGAAAAGCACTGGCTATGATATCATACATATCTGCCATTTACCAGCTGTGTGACTGTAAGCAAGTTACTTGACGTCTCTGAATCTTCATTTCTTCATTTCCAAAAGGGTAATGTGAAAATAGGGTTAAATAAGATTATGTCTTTATGAAGCAATTGGTCCACAGGCGGTGTTCAAGATGTATTTGTTCTTATCTTCAACCTGTACACCAGTCTGGGAAGAAGAGCTGAAGGGGAAAATGCTCTGTGTAGCAACAAATTGGATCCACTCCTAAAGCTGGTGCATCAGTGCTGCTCTGTCCCTAATTTTTGCCTCAGCACAATTAAATTCTTCCCAGATATCCTCCTCATTATCCTTATACTTCATCCTCCCCACCTCTCCACCTACAGCTAGCCCAGGTCCACACGATGCCCTCATGTCACGTGAGCTTTCCTGTTGCCTTTGCTTCCCAGGACACAGTGTGGGGAAATGGAAAGAATATAAGGCTTAGACCTAGAAGACGTGTGTTCCGGTCCAGTCTGGCTCTGACTAGGTGAGTGACCCTGAGGAAGGGTCATTTAACCTCTGAACCTCGACTTCCTTATCTATAGAGGGATAATAGACTGTAATGATACTCAAGCGGGATGCTGCAGATACACAGACTTGAAAGTTATAAAACATTCAAAAACTGATTTCTTTTCATATTTCCAGCATTCCTGCTCGTGAGGTTAGAATAGAAGCAGACAATACTAAGGCTATTCTTACAGGATTCCAGAGCATCCTGCCTTGCGTTTCCTGGCCACAGCCTGCCTAACCAGCTACTTCAACGCCCTTCATTATTCATTCATTCAGCAAATACTTATTGAGTGTCCACTGTGTGCCAAGCACTGTTGTATGTTCTAGGAATAGAACAATGAGGACAGCGGACTAAACACTCAGCTCTCATACAGCTTGCATTCTGGTAGGCAGAGGAAAAGACTGTGGGCAGTTAGGGCAAACCCATACCACCTGAAGAGAGCTGCCACGTGTATCTCTGGTCATTTGGCATCCCACTGGTGCCAAGTGGAGACAAAGAAGAGGGACAACCGCAAAAAAAAGAAAGAAAGAAAGAAAAAAAATTGGGCTTCCCCGGTGGTGCAGTGGTTGGGAGTCCGCCTGCCAATGTGGGGGGCGCGGGCTCGTGCCCCGGTCCGGGGGGATCCCACATGCCACGGAGCGGCTGGGCCCGTGAGCCATGGCCGCTGAGTCTGTGCATCCGGAGCCTGTGCTCCGCAACGGGGCGGGCCACGGCGGTGGGAGGCCCGCGTACCGCAAAAAAAAAAAAAAAAAAAAAAGAAGGGGGACAGAAAGGAAAGGAATGCAGGAAAAAGAAGTTGGAGGAATCCAATCATACTAGAATCCAGAAATGGGCCTGGTTTCATTAAAATTAAGTGTCCGTACACCACTTAGCTACCCCAGCTAAGAATGCAAAACAACAAATTAATTATGAGGGAATATCAGACAAACTCAAAATGAGAAACATTCTTTTTTTTTTCTATTTTAATATAATAAAGGCAAGGAAGGCTGAGGACAAATTAAAGGAGACTAAAGAGACATGAAAAATAAATATAGTACCTAATCTTAGACTGCTTCCCGTATTGGGTGGTGGGAGGGGGTGAGAAGACTGCTATAAAGTTCATTATTAGGTCAACGGAAAAAAATGGAATGCAGAGGGTAGATTAAACTTTTTCAAGTTACATAAAAGGATATGCTTATTCTTAGAAAATACAAAGAGAGAGAAGAAGAGAGGGAGGGACAGAAGAAGGGAACAAATGGTAAGATGTGAAAATGAATAAACAGAAACCTCATTTTAAATTGAGTCAGGAGGCCAGAAGGGGGAACTCTCACACCCTACCAACAGGTAGAAACCCAACAGGAAGAGATAGCTTTGCATCTCCAACAGGAAGAAGGTTACTACTTTACTATCCAGCAGGGAGAAGGAAAATTTTCCCTTTGCCTGAATTTCTCCTTGCCCAGCAACAGCCCAGTCAATAAGAGACTGTCACAACTCAGCCAATGAAAAGCCACTACACCTTCAAATTCCCAGTTTCCTCCAACTCTTTGTTTATGACAGCCCCTCTCAACTCCCCCTTCTCCACTATAAAAGAAAGGTCCTCTCCTTTGTTCTGCAGACTTGCCTGTGTGTTGCCATAGATTACGTGTCCAGAATTGCAATTCTTTGCTGTTCCCAAATAAACCCAATTTGCTGATAAAATAACCTGCTGTTTTATTGTTTTAGATCAAAAAACCAAATGGAGCAAATTGTTAGCAATAGATGAATTTGAGTAAACATGTGTTCCCTGTACTATCCTTGCAACTTCTCCAAATAAGACTTAAAAAAAAAAAGAAATGTCATCTTGCACCAGCCAGAATGACCATCATCAAAAAATCTACAAACAATAAATGCTGGAGCGGATGTGGAGAAACGGGAACCCTCATACACTGTTGGCGGGAATGTAAATTGATTCAGCCACTACGAAAAACAGTATGGAGGTTCCTTAAAAAACTAAAAATAGAACTACCATATGACCCAACAATCCCACTACTGGGCATATACCCAGAGAAAACCATAATTCAAAAAAACACATGCACCCCAATGTTCATAGCAGCACTATTTACAATAGCCAGAACATGGAAGCAACCTAAATGTCCATCGGCAGAGGAATGTATAAAGAATATGTGGTACATATATACCATAGGATATTACTCAGCCATAAAAAGGAATGAAATTGTAGAGACGTGGATGGACCTAGAGAGTGTCATACAGAGTGAAGTCAGAAAGAGGAAAGCAAATATCATATAACAACGCGTATATGTGGAATCTAGAAAAACGGTATAGATGATCTTATTTGCAAAGCAGAGACACAGAGTAGAGAACAAATGTATGGATACCAAGGGGGAAAGGGGTTGGGTGAGAGGAATCGGGAGACTGGGATTGACACATATACATTATTGATACTATGTATGAAATAGACAACTAATGGGAACATACTGTATACCACAGGGAACTCTACCTAATGCACTGTGGTAACCTAAATGGGAAGGAAGTCCAAAAGGGACGGGATATCTGTATGTGTATGGCTGATTCATTTTGTTGTGCAGTGGAGGCTAACACACCATTGTAAGGCAACCATACTCCAATAAAAATTAATTTAAAATAAATGAATAAAATTCAGTAGAAAATTAACCACCATTTTTAGACAAAAAAAAAAAAAAGGTGTCCACAGGACCCAGACTCAGCCCAACCCCTTTTTTAATTGGTGCATGAACCTGAATGACTCCCTTCCTCTCTCTGGGTCTCATTTTCTAGTCCAGGTGGTCTCTAAGGCTCTCTCTGGTCTGGCAATCAAGGTCCCACAACTCAGGTCGCTTCTAGATAGGTCTTTGGAAAGAAGCCAGCCCTTCAATCTCTCAGCCCACCAGTTACTTCACCACGACTTTCTGCAGCGTGCTCACCCGCCCTCTTTCATCAGCCCTAAACTTGCCCTTGCACTTCTCTGCCACCAGCCAGCAGGCCCAGCCCCTCCTTCCGAGGGCTTTAGCGCCCACCTTCTCGCAGGCTCCAAATCTGCTCAGGACAGGCACGTGCATTTATCCCTCAAGAAACTACAGCACCCAAAAGGCTTTGCGGCAACCTCTGGGCCTTTAGTACCACCAAAGAGAAAGGTTTTTCAGTGCGGGCCAGCCGCTGCATGGCTTTTTGGATATTGTAGTTCATCTGCGAAGAGCCCGGGAACTAGGGTAAGGCTGCAAGCCACCCTTCCCAGAATGCACAGCGCTCGTCCCCACCAATCGGAGGCACGGATCTTGGAAGGAAGGCGGGGAAGAGGGGGAGCTGCCCGGCGCACGCGCAATATGTTTGTCTGGGGAATTCATGTGGAGGTCAGAGTGGCAGCAGGTGAGAATGCAAAGGAATCGCCGCGACCCGCGTCCGGGCGTCTCCGCAGTCCCCCTCTGCACTCCCATTAACCCCAGGTTTGGGCGGGCGGGGTCCATGCGTGGGTCCGCCTCGTGTCGGAGGGGAAAGGGGGTGAGCACGGGAGGAGCCAGGGGTTGCGTAGAGTGAGGTAGGTGTGTATGGGGCCCGAGTGAGGAATAATCTAGAAGCTCTTAGGAATGGAAAAGCTGAGGGGTCGGGACTGGGCATCCTGGTCTCAGGAAAGATTTAAGTGCACGGGGAGAGATGAAGGTAGAGACGTTGAGGTCTGGGGAGGAGGTAGGGAGGCTGAAGTGGACGACGGCAATGGGGCGGAGCGAGACAAAGTTAAGTGCTGGAGCAGATTCTAGTGAGGTCAGCCGTGCTCGCGCCCACCCCGCCTCAGCCCCCCTACCCCGACCCGTGCCAGGGTTCTCCCTCGGGGTGCAGCTGTTTAGGGCCTTTCTGGCCCGATTGGTTCTCGTGATATGTTGACCGCAGAACGTCATTCTTAACGCCTGATGTTGGGAAGCCGCGTGGTGAGGAGTTAAGATGTGCCTTCTAGAATTAGACCTCTAGGTTCTAATCCTGGTAGCCCTCCTCATAGCTGCGTGAGCTTAGGCTCCTGGTGTCACTTAACACTTCTGTGTGCCTCAGTTTCCTCATCTGTAGTTATCTACTTCATACGGGTTGGTGTGAGGATTAAATATGGAAATTGCTGTTAGAAGACTACCTAGTATAAAGGTCAGCTATTATTGTTATTTTGTTCTTGGAATCACATGCTTTTCTGAACCAGAATTGCACAGAACCAGCCACGCTGCCTCTGTCCTGGGGCCTGACTGTCCAGGAAATGGGAGGGTGTTTGGTGTGGGGCTAAGTTCTCTATGGGTATCAAGCCCATGCCTCCTTCCAATTTTGAACCAAGGACCCCAGACCCTTTCTCTTAAGTAGTAGAGAAGAAAGCGCAGAGGAATCGAGTATACACTTATACAAGCTGCAGAGTGTTATTTATGAAATGTCCTTCAGTCGATAATTTAGAGCTCTCAAGAGTGGGGGAAGAAATAGCCAACTTGACAGGTACATGTGATGCCTCAGAGAGGGCTTTACTCTGAGGATTTGGGGATTGAATTGTTTTGTTTTTACCCACTTAGGTGTGAGCAGGCCCAGCAGAAGGAGACATGGCTGCCAAAGTGTTTGAGTCCATTGGCAAGTTTGGCCTGGCCTTAGCCGTTGCAGGAGGCGTGGTGAACTCTGCCTTGTATAATGGTGAGGCGCTGAGGGGTGGTGGGTCACTGCCCTTTGCCAGAGGACTTCTATTGGTCTTCATAGCCTGTGTGACACTCCTGTTGGCAGCCGCTGTCCGTGAATGTGTTTGTGACCAAGAGGGCTCACCTACGGCCGTCTTGCACCACACGGTTGCATTGTCATCAGGGCCTCTGTCCTTGTAGCCATAGGTTCTCTCAGAGCCTTTATTCACCAAGAGCCTCCCAGCCCAGCTGGACGTTTCCACCTGCTCTTGTGAATTTAAAGTGATGCTGCAGCGGAGTGCCAGGATTTCACTGGCCAGCTGAAATGGAGAGCTCGTTGGTTCTCTTCTGCCTGTGTGTGGAATAACTCAGCAAGGGTTTTAGCCCTTCGGTGACCTTGTCCTGAGTAGGAGCTTTGCTCTGGTGTGGTTGAGTCTTTCCAGAGAAAATATCTTTGAGATGCACTGCCCAGCTTTTAACAGTGTGCTGGGTGTTTAAGCTGGCTTTTCCACTTTTCTTTGTGACCTTAGGCAAGTCACTTTCCCCTCCGCAGGCCTCAGCTTTCTCATTGGTCAAGCCACAGGATCGAACTGCTTTATGTCTAAGACCCCCTTCACCTCTGATACTCTCTAGCTTTCACTGTTGGAAAGTAGCAGTAGATCGACCCACCTCATGTGTGACCCTGACAAGAGGAGGATTACTTTCAGAGTGAAGGTGTTTGGGCCAACTGTAATGTCTAAAAAGGCAGAGACAGAAAACAGCTGGTCAGAAAAGCCTGCTCTTGGGCTGCCCTGGTGGCACAGTGGTTAAGAATCTGCCTGCCAATGCAGGAGTCACGGGTTCGATCCCTGGCCCAGGAAGATCCCACATGCTGTGGAGCAACTAAGCCCATGTGCCACAACTACTGAGCCTGCGCTCTAGAGCCCGTGAACCACAATTACTGAGCCTGTGTGTCACAACTACTGAGCCTGCGCTCTAGAGCCCGTGAACCACAATTACTGAGCCTGTGTGCCACAACTACTGAAGCCCGCGTGCCTAGAGCCTGTTCTCCACAACAAGAGAAGCCCGTGCACCACAACGAAGAGTAGCCCCCGCTCACCACAACTAGAGAAAGCCCGTACACGGCGAAGACCCAACGCAGCCAAAAATAAAATAAATAAAAATAAAATAAAAAATTTATTAAAAAAAAAGAAAAGAAAGAAAAGCCTGCTCTCCTTCTGTGGCGCAGCTTTATACTCTGATCTTTTTGGCCACCCCTGCATAGCCAAACAGTAGTCACCATTACTAATTTCTTTCTGAATCATCAAGACAGCTCTGTAACCCCTTCAAACCTTAGAGAAACCAATCTATTGGAAAGAAAAAGTGGGGCCTTCCATATTTTAGGATCGCCATAGGGAGGATGCTGCTTCCGGAAACACTGAGTTAAATTGGAACCAGGATGGACTGTGGTAACAGTGAAGACTGGTGAGTTTTAGAAAGAAGTTTTGGGAGGTGGTTAATCAGAACATCAGCAGCCAGTTGTTTCAAGGAGAAAGGATGCTGAGGAACAGATCCTGTTACCGAAGTCCTTGGGAGGACATGTGGGATGGGAAGTGATTGCTTAGTTTTATAGCTGTTCAGAGGCCTCTGGAGACCAGAAGTGTAGGAAGAAAGAGCAGGAGAGGGAGACTTAATAAATGAATGGAAGGCACCAGCGATCTTCCAAAACCATGATCCTTTAGGTTAAAGGGTGAGGGGATTTTTCTGACCCGTCCTTATTCTTCATTCCTAGTGGATGCTGGGCACAGAGCTGTCATCTTTGACCGGTTCCGGGGAGTGCAGGACATTGTCGTAGGGGAAGGGACTCACTTCCTCATCCCTTGGGTACAGAAACCAATTATCTTTGACTGCCGCTCTCGACCACGTAACGTGCCAGTAATCACTGGTAGCAAAGGTGAGTCTTGTCTGTGGGTCAGGTAAAGTAGAGAGTGTCAAGGGCTGCTGTGGGATCCCGAACGGGTTGAACTTCTCGTAGTACGAATTCCTGGCATATTTTCCGTGAAGAGTTTTATGTGGCTACAGAGAAAGAAATATACAGGCGTACCTCAGAGATGTTGTGAGTTCGGTCCCAGACCACCGCAACAAAGCACATACTGTGATGAAGCGAGTCACACGAATATTTTGGTTTCCCAGTGCATATAGTTCACCCCATACTGTAGCCTGTTATGGGTGCAATAGCTTTATCTCTAAAGAAACAATATATATACAATACCTTAATTAAAATTACCTTATGGCTAAAAAATGCCAACCATCATCAGATCACCATAACATATAATAATATCGGGAAAGTTTGAAATATTGCAAGAATTACCAAAATGTGACAGAGACGTGAAGTGAGCAGGTGCTGTTGGAAAAATGGTGCCAATAGACTTGTTTGACACAGGGTTGCCCCAGACCTTCAATTTGTAAAAAATGCAGTGTCTGTGAAGCTCAAGAAAGTGAGGTATGCCTGTATACTTAAAATACGCACACAGTTGTACAAATTTAGAGAAATGAACAAAGATATATTTCAAGAGTTACATAGCAATCCAATTTTAAAGAAATCTGAGTGTGCCTTTGCTCCCTCGGTTGACCCTTCCCATCAGGTCTTGTTTCCCAGGGTGACTGTAAACGGATCTCCAGCCGTTCTGTTTGCCTTCACAGCTGACTTACCCTTTGCCTTGCTTTCCAAGGCCTCTGTTTCCAGCAGTGCTGCCCTCACGTTGTTATCTCACAGGCCAAGGCCCACATCCCTGAGAGCAATCTGGTCTGACACGCCACTGGCTTCCCAGCTGGAGCCTGAATGAATTGCTGTCATGGTTCTCCCCCCGTCGTACACATAGAGGTGCACAGGCAGTGGATGGAACGGCAGGTGCTGTCTTGGCCGTGACGTTTCTGTGCAGCAGGAGGAGGGGGTTGCATGGGTGTTGCTGTTCCTCAGCAGATGTTTGCTTTCTGTCATAGTGGCAGGCTTTGTGCTGGGTCAGAGGGTGGGGTAGTTCAAAGTTGACTAGAGTGGGAGCCTTTAGGAGCTTGGCCTAGCTAGGGAGATAGCCATGTGGACAGGCATTAGAGTGGGGCGCGGGGACTACAGCATGGAGGGGAAGCCGAGAAGAGAGCTCCTGTGAGGAATGTGCGTCTGCACTGGCACTTTAGGATGAGAAGTGCGTCGGGCAGAGGCGGGGAAAGGGTACGTTGGTGTTGACTGATCTGTCCTGTCGCTCCTGGCCAGAGAGAGGAGGAGCCTCCTGTGAAGGGTCTGGCCTGCCTGCTACATCAGAGGAAATCAGCGGTGGGTGGGGTTAATCAAGAAACATCATATTGTAACTCAAAGGCCTAGTTCTGAACTTTCCTCCTTTTTGGGATTTCTTTCTCTACTGTTTTGCAGTTGTTCTAAGGATACATTATACACCTATCTTCAAAACTTGATAGGAACTTGCAGAGATCAGGGACGGTGTATAACCATTTCCCACTCTGGTGCCTGGTTCAGAACTCATCTCATGGGCGTTTGGTCCATATGGTTGATGACTGCAAGCAGGCCGTGACAGTGCCTTAGCTCCGAGTAGGACTGCATTGTCAGGGGAAGTTGTAATTCCCTCCCTGGGTCCTTTGACTCGGCCAAGTAATGAGAAACCGCCCCTAGATGAGTCTGATAACCCCTTACATCTGTTGCGCATTTGACAGAGTGCTTTTATATCTGTTTCCTCCTTCGGTTTCTCCCAACATGCCTGGGAGGCAGATGAAATCATCCCCATTCTTACATGTGAGGAAATAAGCTGAGATGGGCTAAGGCTTAGTGATCCCGCATAATTAGTAAACAGCAGAGTTGAGGCTACAGCCAGGCCTTAGACTGCTTGTCTGCTGGGCCCACGGTCACCTCTCTGAGGCACACTCCTTCCTTGGGCCCCATTCACTGGGCCTTGGAGAGGCCTTACCCTAGAATTCTTGGCATTGGCCTATCTGTTTTCTTAAAATATTCAGTGTTCCAGGCATATCCATGGCAACTGTTAGACGTACAATCTGCATTTACTTATATCAGAGGGCATTCAGGACACACTGAAAAGCTGTCATCACCAGAATCCTTGGAGAAGTTTTTAACGCTGATGCTGTGCTGGGTTCTCTACCAAGGAGACCACGCACAGGTGCGCCTCACCCTCTAGGATCTGATAATCGGCAACTTTACTTATAAATTATAGCAAATTTGGGGTAGGAGAGGTCATAGAAGGCCACTTTGGTTTTTACTTTTAACTCCAGCACTCCTCCCCTACCCTAAGATTTACAGAATGTCAACATCACCTTGCGCATCCTCTTCCGGCCGGTTGCTAGCCAGCTCCCCCGCATCTTCACCAGCATCGGAGAGGACTACGACGAGCGCGTGCTGCCGTCCATCACCACCGAGATCCTCAAGTCCGTGGTGGTGAGTGAACAGGGCCTCAGCCTCGCGCCTCGAGCCCAGCCCCCAGGAGATCGCTAGTTGGCAGGAAGAGCTTGGCGGTGACTGGTTGGGACTCTGCTTCCTCATTATCCTGACCGGCTCCTCTGCCCTCCCTTGGAACCAGGCTCGCTTTGATGCTGGAGAACTGATCACCCAGAGAGAGCTGGTCTCCAGACAGGTGAGCGACGACCTCACGGAGCGAGCAGCAACCTTTGGGCTCATCCTGGATGACGTATCCTTGGTAAGGGTCTTGGGGTGCCTGCAGGGGAGGGTGCCTGGTTCCATATCTGGGTAGACACTGTGAGGTCCTACCTTCCGCTTTCCTCAATGAAGGCTTGAAAGCATGGGCCCTTCTTGGTGGCACGTGGCAGTCTCCTCGGGTTTGTTTTCAGAAGAAGGTTCTTTTACCTCCCCTGTGCCACAGACATTTTTCTTTTAACTTTTGGCCCTGACCACTAGACTTTTCACCTTCCCCAAACTGAATGTTCCCCCGAGTTCCCCAGGAAGTGATGTCCTGCTAACCCTGTTGGACACAGGCAGAAATTGCCGGGTAGAGACTAGAGAACAGCTGGGATAGTCTTTCTCCCTAGCACAGACCTCCCAGCCTGACCCCGAGGAATTTCCTGACACCTAGGGTCTAAAGCACAGTCAAGTGAGCTCTGGGACCTCCCCATGAAAGGTGACAGAGTGTAAATGAATGGTTCTGTTTCCCAAAGCCTGGTATGGGAGGCAGGGGCATCTCTGAGGCATAAGCTATCTTGAGACTGTGTGGTCTGTGTATTTATATGACACTGAATGCCGCAATGCAGACAGAAAGCAGTACAGGCAGGATAGCATTTCAGATCGAGGAGGGTGAGGGGAAGGGGTCGTGTTTCTGATTCTCTGGGGAAAATCATTTGGAGTGATTTGTTCAGGTAGCGAGGTAGAGTGTTTCCCATTCCGTTCTCCTGTGCGTCGCTGGGGAAAGGCGCAGCTTCCCCCTCAGCACCTGTGCAGCTGTTTAAACAGTAACATTCTACATACCCTGCGCTCACCCCGGGGCACTGCTCCACTTGCAGCAACTGCCTTCCAGCCGTGGAAGGGCTCGTGGGCTCCCTCTACTGGCAAGACGCCAGGCTGCAGCCATTTGGCTCCTTGGACCAGAGTGGTTCCTCAGGCTCTCCCACTTAGTGTTAAACACTGTGGCCGTGAGAACACACTAAGTAAAAGCCTGAGGAGAAGCTTGGCATTTTGCTAGACTTTGACCACATACTCCATTCTGGGGAAATGGGGGTTGACCACAAGAAACCATATCTAAGAGGTGTGAGAAGAAAATTAGGTTTCATGGGGAATTTGCTGCCCTCAGCTGGCCCTTTTAGAAAGAAATTTTATTCCTTAATTACGCATTTCTTTTTCATTGCTCAGGATTGTATTTTCTTTCCCAAACTTTGAACAAGAGTCCAGAAATGGAGCAGGCGAGCTAGAACAGCTGCAGTTTAAGAGTTAGGAGGGTTAAAAATTCTGGAAGACATTGGACTGGGATTTACTCTTCAGGAGAAGTTTTGAGCCGCTTATTTTCTTTTTTTAAAGCAGAGGTTGGGAGGGTAGTGGAGGAAATGAAACAAGTAGAATTTGGTAGCAAAACCAATGCTGTTATCCCCTTTATTCTTCCCTTTTAATAAAAAATATAGATAAATTAGACTAGGCATTAGTAGTGCTGAGATCTGTTTCCGTTGTTTGCACTGTCATTACAGATACATCACTTCAGCAAAGTCTCGGTCACTCGTGTTGTTAGGGAAGACCTATGCATAATCAGAATTTTAAACGTCTCCCGAATCAATATCTTTACCTGCCTTCTCTTTCTTTTAAACCCTTTATCAGAAGCACTCACACATAGGGAAAACCATGATTTGCAAAATCATGGTTTGGAAATCGTCCCTCTAGTCCTCTTCCTGTTTTGTGGTGGAGGTGCTGTGAGAAAGCAGTGGCCTGGTTAAGTCATAAGCAGAGAGCATCACACTCTTGAATCCCTGAGAACCAGCTGCATCCCTCACTCAGGGGCTCAGTTTTCCATCTGGCTTCCTGGGGGCTTCAAGCAGGCCATCAAAGGACCTTGGAAGAGCACTAGTCAGTGGTGGGGGTCCTGGAACCCACAGGTCTCCTCCCCTAGGGAGGTGGTCAATCGAATAGATACCTTCTGGTGCCCGTGGGCTGTGTTCTACCTGAGGGGTGCCAGAATGAGGTACAGGAGCACTTTGGGCAGCCAAGGATTCTGGGGTGTGAACTCAGGTTGGGCACGGATGTGGAGGTGGAAGGGCGTTCTGACCTCACATTGTCTCCAGCTGCTAGAGCCATTCGTGGCCTCTTCCTCCAGCGGCCGTGCGGGCCCTGCAGCAGCGCTGTCGAAGCCATTACTCTGCCTCATCTCGTGCTCACTCTCTCCCCTTAGACGCATCTGACCTTTGGGAAGGAGTTCACAGAAGCGGTGGAAGCCAAACAGGTGGCTCAGCAGGAAGCAGAGAGGGCCAGATTTGTGGTGGAAAAGGTGAGCACCCAGCCAGATGGCAGGGCCTCTCTCCCCTTTCTCCTTTGCTCAGCCTCCCTGTTTGCTGGGTGGCCTGGAAATTCATCATCTGTCATCTCTTCCGGGATCATCGGAAGGGGATTGAAGGGACTGTACTCCTGCAATTGGTTCCAGAGTCTTCGGGGTCTAGTCAGGGATATGTGAAGTTATGTTCTTAAATCACGGAAGGGTAATTTTTTTTCCACGTCCCTATGATCAAAAACAGTCTCCCACAAATAAAAATGTTTCTTCTGAAATATTTTCAGCTTCACTGAGAGGTCATTTTTAACTGTGGTTACATAGTGAAAGCTGACAGCAAAAGGGATCAAACGTTGCACCAGGTGCACTGTCATCACTGGGTTTTTTTCAAGCACTAAATCCATCCAGATGTGTCAGAGTGTGCTGGGACGCAATATAGTTGCGTAGGGCCTGGTCTTTTGGTCTTTGCAAAGGCGTATTTATTTCATATATTCCCTTCTCCCCACCACTAATTCTCTTGGATTTTTATTCCTAATCCAGGACACCTTAGTCCTTAGAATCAGGCAAAAGAGAGGTATATGGGTAGACATTTAACTTTAGAGAATATAAACTCCATGTGGATGGAGACTTATTTTTTCTTTTTCCACTTTTTTTGCCTCTCTCCAGCACCTAGAACATGTCCCAAACCATGCCTGGGATAGATTCTAGGTATCAATAAACATTTGTTGAGTGGACAGTCCCAGAACCTCAGTTGAACAGCTGTCTGTTCATCTCAGACAGGCTCCACACTGTGTTCTCCTCCCATGCTTCTGAAGGTCATGCATTGCAGATAGACGTCCTCCTGTTGGTAAGGGTAGGGGGAGCCAGGAGGCCTCGTTCTGCGTGCCTGAGTTCCTGGTCGGGAACCAGTTTAGCCCAAGAGCGACTTTAGGGAGCGTCCCGTGCCTGCCGCTCCTGCTTAGCTGCACTGGTTTTGATGAAAGTCGCTTTGACTTGGGGCTGGAGGGAAAGATGAGGATTAATTCCATCTTTCTTTCTCTCCTGCTTTCCTTGGCCTGGAGTCCTCCTGCCTTGGAGTATGTGGCTGGACTGGGTTGCTATTAATATTATTGAGGCCTTTAAAATAAGACAGCTATTTACATAGCCAACAGAAATATGTCCCTACAGTGGCAAGACAGGAGAGAGGAGGATTGGGTGGACAGTGCTTGTTGACCCTGTCTGGAGGGGGAGGTAAAGTCCCAGAGTTCCTTCGGGACCCGGTGAGGGTGCCTAACGTGGTCCTTTTGAGGCCGTAGCCGCCATCCAGCACCCCAAGATGTGATCTTGGTCTTTCTGCTTCCACCGCCGTAGGCTGAGCAGCAGAAGAAGGCAGCCATCATCTCTGCGGAGGGCGACTCCAAGGCAGCGGAGCTGATCGCCAACTCGCTCACCACTGCGGGCGACGGCCTGATCGAGCTGCGCAAGCTGGAGGCGGCGGAGGACATCGCGTACCAGCTGTCGCGCTCCCGGAACATCACCTACCTGCCCACTGGGCAGTCGGTGCTCCTCCAGCTGCCCCAGTGAGACCCGCACCTCCTGGGCCATCTGGACCACAGCTCCCATGATGCTCACCACCACCTTCCTTCTCCCGCCCCAGAATCACTGTGAAACTTCATGATTGGCTTAAAGTGAAGGAAATAAAAGTAAAATCACTTCGGATCTCTAATTACTTGATCAGGTGAAGCTCTTTCACTCTTCTCATTTCCATCCCCTTTTTTGATCCGCCTCCCTACCCAGAGTTGCCAAGTGCCTACGCAGACCGGCTTGGCTCCCGTCTTTGGGGCCTGCTTGGCGCTCCAGCCGAGGCACTGGCAGTGGGCAGAAGACAGGCAGGGCCATGTGTGTGATGAGCTGGGAGTCAGTGGGCGGCCTGAGTAGACTGGTAGCCTCCAGCCTATCTTTTATTCATGATTTGAGGAAGACGGCATGCGCAGCTGAACAACAACGAACACCGGCCTCGGTTTTTTCCAGTGGTTCCTTCACATACCCAGCTGAAGAGAGGTGCTGGGGAGGGTCAGAGAGGAAGCAATCTGTCTCTTACCATAGGCCGATTCTCTTTAGCTGCGGGGCCAGCGGAAGCACGGATTGAAGAATCTGCCCCTGTGAGGGTGGGTGGGCTGATTTGCTGCCCTACCCCCACCCCAGGGTCCTAAAGCTGGAATGGACTTGGATAATGAGAAAGCAGGCCTGGACCAAGATGTGAGTCCTCTGGCCTCCCTCTCCACCTCCCACCTTGGTGTCTCAAATACCCGGCAGATTTCCAGCTTGAAGGATTGCATCCGGCCGGGACTACATGGGCCTGCCAGAGACGTGTGCATCCGGAGTTCCTGGCTTCCCTTGTTCAGAGACTGCCCTTTCTAGAGGGCTCTGTGCCTGTGCCTTGAAGGAAACAACCACGGGAAGAAAACAAATGTGTGTAAACTGCTATCAATAAACGACACCCAGATCTTCCAGCTCAGTCTTACGGGGTTTTTTTTTGTATGTGTGTGGGAACCGTGGGATCAGAACAGAGCATTCTAGCAGTTTTTGTGTGCACGTTTGTATCGCCAGCTAGGACAGAACCTCCAGCAGGGCAGAAAATGCTTTGGTTTCAGAAAACACTTTGTGCCGTGTTCCAGATCCAGCCCAGCCTGAAACGAATCAGTGGTGTCAAGTGAGGTTGGTTGTTACGTGGGTTCTTAGGCAGTGAGGGGTGGTGGAGGTTCGTTAGCTTCCCCCGTGGCTTTGGGGGCCAACTGGAAAGTTGTAGGCCCGCCCCCTAAATGAGGGGTTGACAAAATGCAGGTGTGCCGAGCCCTCGGCGCACTCTGGTTAGACTTCTACATACATGAGGTGGCTTCGGGTGCCCTGCCTGTTGCGGGCTTGTATTGCTTATTCTGCTTTGCTTTGATGAAGGAAGGCCTTGGCCTTTGAAGGGGGGCCAGGTTTATGCACTTTGAGTGGTGGGGAGGGAAAGCGGACCTACGATTGAGAAATGGGTCATGCCAGTCACCCATCTCAATCCTTTTAGGAATAAAATGGAAATGACGTGCAGTGAGCACTCATACTGACTGCTTCAACCTCTGCTCTCGGTTTAATCCCCAGCTCACCACCTGGCCAAGGAGAATGGTCCTTTTTTTTTTTTTTTGCAGTACGCGGGCCTCTCACCGTTGTGGCCTCTCCTGTTGCGGAGCACAGGCTCTGGACGTGCAGGCTCAGCGGCCATGGCTCACGGGCCCAGCCGCTCCGCCACATGTGGGATCTTCCCGGACCGGGGCACGAACCCTTGTCCCCTGCATCGGCAGGCGGAATCTCAACCACAGCGCCACCAGGGAAGCCCAGAATGGTCTCTTAAGAGGACTCTGCAGGCTGGTCTCTGACCTGGATTCTGCATTTCCTCTCCCAGAGTGATAGGGCCAGCTGTCAGCTGGGAAATGGGACGGGTGCCCAGATTTCGGGTGGGCTGGGGACTGAGTTCTCCCGGCACCGCGCTCCCCTCCCAGGCCCTCTCCCCAGGGATCTCGTCCTTTCCCACCTGTTCTGTTTGCTGATGGGCGAGCCTCATCTAGCCCATCTCCTCACCACCTCCCTGGCATCAGTTATCTCCGGTTAGCTCCTCCCACTTGTGTCTTGTGCTGTAAGAGCAGTGAGACCTGCGAGGGGTGAGGTGCCTGGACTCACAAAACGCGTGAAAGACCGGAGCAGAAAGAGCATGACTGCTAAATAGATTCCAGACCGGCTTCCACTCAGCGGCCTTCCTCCTTTCCTCTGTTTATTGCTCTGGACACCCTTGGGGGGCGGGGCAGGAGGCTCCTCTCTTCCCCAGGCCCTTTCTAAAAGAGCAGTTTGTTTCTTGCATATGGCAGGAGATTGGGTTTCCAACCCAGGTGTGTGAGGTCCCCAGCTTCTGGGTTCCTTCTGCCTCCAGGTCAGCCCCTCGGCGTCCGGCTGGCCAGTTCCTGCTGGTTTTGCCTGTAGCCTCCCTGCCACAGACAGTGCCAGTGGCAGACCAGGGGCCTCATTCTGCCTTGACTTCCGCCAAGTAATTCTTTTCACAAATGTTCAAGGGCTGTTAACTGGCTGCTTAGCCGCGGAGTCCCCCCGATGGCCTCTGGGTTTCTCTAGAAACTGCCACAATTGGCTTTTATCAGCTCCGGATCCTCTGGGCCCTGGATCAAAAGCCGTGTCCTGTCCTGGCCAGGGAGGGGGCCAAGCAGGGAGTGTCTCTCCTTTGGTCAGACTGAATAGTTCCCTTGTTCAGGCCCCGAGGGTCCCGGACTAGGAAGGCAATGGGCCCTGGATGGAGGGCGGGGGCGGGGTGGGACCCTCGAAGTCTCACCATTTTTCCTTACTGCTGCATTTTACACAAGTTCTGCCGGTGTGGACTGAAGGGGGAGGAGCTGTGTCATCCCCACGTGGGTCGATTTGAAAGACAGGGAGAGACAATGGAACATTGTCAAAGTCTGACGTGTAGCAGATGCTATTCTAATCACCTGGTGGTCCAGCAATCAGCAGGGCGAGAGCAGTTAGGCCCTCCCCTCAACCTTTGCCCTCTGCCAATACTGTGGGCAAAGTAGCCCACCTTGACTGAAAATAACCTGGGTGAGACAGTCGCAGGAGACTGGAATTGATGTCCCCACCTTTCCTAGGCCTCCTGTCCATCTTGCACGCTGCTCCAAGCTTAATTTTTCTAAAGCAGATCTCATCCCCTTCCTCCTGAAAAATTGTCAGCAGCCACTCCTCCCTTGGTTACTAAACTGCAAATGCCTTGTCCTGGCATTCGAGGCCCTCTGCTCGCTACCTTTCTAGTCCAACTTTATACTTTACTGCTTGCCTTCACATACCTACCTGGTGGCTCCCATGGGATGGGAAGTGTTGTCTAAAAATGCGGGTGGAAAGGGGCAGCGGCTACTAGCATTAGGTGATGGGAAGCAGAGGTGGCGGGGATGTTATGAGACCTGCTTTGTGTGGGACAGACTCATGCAACAAAAAATTGTCCCAAACGTAATGCCAATAACACTCCTCATTGAAAACACGCACCGAACTGAGTTCCTTGCTCTTGTCTGCATACCCCCCAGCCCCACTTTCACTGCATCCCCTCTGCTCGCACGGTCGCTTCATCCCGGACAGCCCTTCCCCCACATTTCACAGGTCCAGATGTCCCCATCCTTTGAGTGCTAGCTCCAATTCTTTCTTTAACACAAAACTTCCGCTGAGCCACAGTCCCATGAGGCGTTTAGTGCTCATTTGGGTTGCAGGTGTGTGTGTGTGTGTGTGTGTGTGTGTGTGTGTGTGTGTACATGTGTTCTCCCTCCAGCCCTACATTTATGGAGGGCAGGACCCTTATTTGATTAAACGTTTCCTCTTCCTCTTCTCCCCCCCAACTACCCCCTGATCTTTTCCCCCAAGTCAAACATGGCTGGCTCTTGGTGGGAGTCACTGAATGTTTGTCAGATGAAGAGATGAAGGAATAGACATACAGGACTGAAGTTAGAAGTGAGGTGAGCGCTGGGGGTCGAGGCCCCTGATTCTCCTCCCCTGCCATTGTGTTAAGTAGCCTCGAGCTGCTCTGAAGCAGGGTGCTCAGGGTCTAGCAGACTGACCCACCCACAAAGGTCCTACCCAGATCGCTTTCCCAGCCTCACCACCCTCTCGCCTCCTGTGGCCTCCACGTACGGACTCTCCCCTTGCTGTCCCCTGCCCACAGCTCACCCTCTCCCGCTTCTGCCTGGAACACCTCTCCTCTCTCGCCTCCCTCTTTCAATCCCGGTCCCTCTCTGTCTCAGGCCCAACTCAAAATCCTTCCTCTTCTGTGGCTGACTTCTTCCCGCCTTTCCTTACATTTAAGGCCTCCCTTACATAAATGTAAGTTGCCTTACATGTAATGCAACTCCGGCAGCACTGGGGTTGAGAATTGAACAAAAAAAGGAGCGAAGAGGCCTGCCCCAGCCAGTAGAGGCTGGGATGTTTGACAAGGCCCAGATGCACATGGCTGGAAGAGGGAATGGAAAGGTACTGGCCTGGGGAAACCAGTTTATAGTTTATAGTTGAAAGAAAATGACTTTGCTCAGGACACTGGGTGGAGAGGGAGGAGGGTGTATTTCCAGCTCCCTCCAATCAAGCTACTTTGGAAAAGAGAGTAAAGCTGAAAGGGCAAGGTTACTTTGAAGGAACTTAAAGCTGCTGTCATCCAGGGAAGATAGGACAAGCCACGAGGATTAGCCAGAAAAGCCTTCCATCAATGACAGGCCTGGACCATCTAAATGTGGCTGAACGAGCTGCAGACACTCACGTCAGAGGCTGGCAGACGATGGCATGCAGGCCACGTGCAGCCCACTGCTTGTTTTTGTACAGCTCATGAGCTAACAGTGGTTTTCACACTTTTAAATGGTTGGAAAACAATCAAAAGAATACTATTTTGTGACATGAAAATGATATGAAATTCAACCTTCGGTGTTCATAAGTAGAGTTTTGTTGGAACATGTCTATGCACGTTTGCACTATAGCAGCAGGTTTGAATACTTGCAACGGAGATTATATGGCCCTCAAAGCCTAAGGTATTTACTATCTGTCCCTTTATAGGAAACGTTTGCTGACCTCTGACTTAAGGGCATTAGACAGCCTTGGAGAAGGGATGAACCCTGGGATATGGAAGTCTCAGGCACCAGGGAGGGGCTGAGGGCTTGAAGTCAGATACAGTGTAATTGTTGCCGAAGTCCTTGACTGTGTCGGAGGCTACGGTAAACTGGAAGCAAAGTCACATTGAGGCCCTGGCACACAGGCTTCTGACACCGTCTGTCTCCACGGCTGCAGATGGCCCTGAGCTAGGCAGAGGGTGGGAATGGGAGGAGCAAACAGATAGGAATTAGGAAGGAAGGACCCAATGGTCCCCCAGAGGTCTGAGGATCTCCAGGCCTGGGGTGAACCCACTTCTTTTCCACTCCTCTGCTCTCCAGGTAGGACTTGTTGCCGGATTGGACTTCCCAAGCCACAGCCGAGGAAGGGAGCCCAGTGCAGCAATGACCCCCAGAGATGGGGACTCTGGGACCGTTAGCCTCCGGGTGGAGGAGTCTCTTGGTTAATGCCATGTCTATCCTGAACAGTCAGAGACCCCAAAAGAACACACAGATGCTCCTCATTGTAGATTGTGCCAACCCTAATCTCCACCAAGCATTCAGGAGCAGAGGAGCTTGCCGCCTCTGGCTAGCAACGACTTCTTTTCCTCGCTTGCCGTCACCATCCTCCCTGTGTGAAATGCTGTTTCCTTAACCCTCCCGTCTCACTCACTTCCTCTGGGGATCCCTTCCTATCTAACTCCACCCCCACTGGAGTCACAACAGCACAGAACTGAGTAGCAGGTTTTCAGATCCTCAGGAACAACCCCTTCATTTGGGAGAGGAGGGGGAGGAGACTTGCGCAACGTCCCACAGGATGCGGGTTGCAAGGCCAAGCATGGAATCCAGGTGTCCACACTCTGTCTAGTACTGTTTTCATCCCATCTCTCAGCTTCCAGGATTCTATATCCGGGCCCCCTTGTCCTGTAAATCCTTTGCACTCACAGGTGGGCTTGTGCATGAGGGGTCTTCATTCTCTTCGTAGGCACACTTCCATCCCCAGCTAGACCATAGCAGGCAGAGACAACACCTTCTCCTTCGTAAGGCCCTTCCCTCCAGGGCACTGCAGCCATCCTTGCTGACACTGTGAAACTCCAAGCTGGCCCGAGCATCCCAGATTTATCACCCCAGAAGGCAACTAAGTTTGTAGAAAGAACATGGGTTCTAGAATTAGAAAGATTTGTGTTTGGATTCTGACTCTGCCAATGACTAGCTTGGGAGACCTTGGGTAAATTACTTAGCTGCTTCAATCATCCTTTTTTTTCTTATCAAAACTAAAGATACGAATATCCACGTTGCAGTGCTGCTGAGGAATAAATGAGTTGACAGTTGAGAAAATGCTCAGCACAGGGCTCAGCCCACAGGAGATGCTCAAAATAGTCTCGTTCTGTCCCTGTTTGTGTTCTAAGGGGCTGCCTGCCTCTCCCTGATGTCAGAGATCAGGAAACTCCTTTGGAATTCTGAGGTAGCAATGGGCATCTACGTGCCCCTGATTCCATGCTTATAGCTATTGAGAAGGGGGCATAGGGACCATCATGGGTCTAACCCTGGTTTGATTCAAACAAGAAGTTGAGTTCCAGGCTTCTCTTCCCAGGAGCCCGGATGTCTTGGGGTAGGTGGCTCGATCTAGTACTCAGGAAGCTGTGTTCAGGCCTTCTTTATTTGCGGTTGAGGGTACAGGTTGGCTGCACAGATTCCAAAGTGTGCCTTGTACAGAGAATTTCTGCAAGTCCCTTTATATCTCCAGGTCTCCGTTTCCCCATCCTTACAATGAAGGGGTAAACACCCTATCAGCTGTTTGCCAACTGAGCTCGGGGGAGTGTGGAACGGGTCCAGTGTTTCCCCTGCTCCAGCCAGAGCAGCGCTGAGTTTAGCAGTTTTACAGGAAGGCCTTAGTCACTGCTGTCATTTAAAGGAAGGGCTCCACAGCTACAAAAGTTTGAAATCCACTGTCATAGAAGCTGTTCTCAAAGGTTCCTTCCACCTCTCAAGTCTGTTTCAGGCCCAGCCCGGCAAAGCTGTGGCCTCTCTTCTCCACCAGATGGCAGCAACCTGCCTGCTGCTGCAGGTGCCAGGCTGTGTTGACAAGCACAAGATGTTCAGAAAAATATCCTAGGGAAGGGACCAGGAGGACATTAGCACCAGCTCTAAGGGTAAGTAAATAGATCGAGGTGACCGTCTGCAGGCGACTTCCTGATACAAAACCCCCTGGGCATCTGTGGCTGTAAACATACCAAGTGTCCTGCCCCAACCACCAGCCAAACTGGTGCTGCCCCTCTCTTCGCCAGGTGGGAGATTGCCACCAGCTCAGCTTAACTCTTTCTAAAACCAGGGAGGCTCCAAGTGTGCTGGGTAGTGAGGCTTTGGCAGCCTGAGGTCAGCTTGGGGAGCTCAACAGTCGTTAATGAATTTGTGAGACACAGAGGGGACATCACATTCTCCTTCGGAGGCCCCAAGAGTTTCCTTCCAGCTTCCCCCAAACACTCGTGAGGAGGAGCAAAATCAAATCTGATAGGCTTAGGGGTGGTTTGACCTTCCACCTTGCGGATACTCTATGAATGAATAGACCTGAAAAGGACAAGTGTCATGTACACAAGTTGTTCCATTTATTCATCCAACAACTATTGAGCGCCTACTGTGTGCAGTCCTGGGCTAGATGCTTCAGGGGATTAGAATCTGAAACAGATACAGGTCCTTATAAAGAAGCGAATACAAGTTAGTCCAAATGACAGGTGATCAGGTCGTGTGTATTGAAGTCATATTTTATATGTTCTTCTCCTTTCAGATTTCTGTTTCTTATTGTTTGGTTCAGGTCAAAAGTTAAATGATGAGGGCTTCCCTGGTGGCGCAGTGGTTGAGAGTCCGCCTGCCGATGCAGGGGACACGGGTTCGTGCCCCGGTCCGGGAAGATCCCACATGCCATGGAGCGGCTGGGCCCGTGAGCCATGGCCGCTGAGCCTGCGCGTCCGGAGCCTGTGCTCCGCAACGGGAGAGGCCACAGCAGTGAGAGGCCCGCGTACCGCAAAAAAAAAAGAAAGTTAAATGATGAGGCCATGAAATGGGGGAAGACACAGGGAAAGGGAGTGATTAAAGGAAACCAGAGACAGCTCAAACATTTGCCATAAGGAATCCACAAAGTGGAATGTCAAATGGCCCTGCTGTTACTGATGTGTACTGATCTTAAAGCAAAGCACTTTCCCCATCTCCTCCATCAGTTGTCCTGGAGAATGTATGATCCTAGCTCTACCCTGTTTCATCTTGCAAATGCACACTGCCCGATTCTTTAAATTGGCTTAAAAATAATACTTATTGCTTTGATATTTTTTATTTTAAATGATACAGAGAAGTACAAAGAATTAAACAGAATGGACCATAATCCCATTGCCCACAGGTAATATTTTTAAAATATGTATATCTATCTCAATATCATATATACATCAGTTTAAAATGCAAACGGTACAGGAAGATACATAATGAACACTGAATGCCTTCCCACCACTTTTCTTTCACAGTTCCTCTCCCCGAAATAACCGCTGTTAGGTTACTTAAATTTCCTTCCAGTAAAAAAAAAAAAAAAAAAAAAAAAGTCACGCATTCTAGAGCACATACATCTCTAAGCCTATATGAACATGTCCTCTGCTGTTCGTTATTTGCAGAAAAGGGATCACGCTGTTGTATCTTGCTGTTTTCATTTACTGAAATATCTTGGACATCTCAGCACAAACAAATCCACCCCATTGTTTTTAATGGCTACAGCGTTTCCCCCAGTATGGATCTATCATGTTTTTTTGTCACGAATTGGCTTTTGGATGACTTGCTGGTGGTTTTTCGTGTGTTTTGCTGTTGCAAACAAAACCACAATGAATGCTGCCCCATTTTTCAAAGGGTCCAATCTCTGCACAAGGTTTTCTTACAAGGCAAAAGGGTTGTGTCCAGGGTCCTAGGAAATAATCTTTGGGGTGGGGAGATGGCATTGCTTGAGCCCCTGGAGCTGCCCAGAGGCTTCCTATGATGAATGTGTGACTCTGACTTCTTTGGGGAAGTCATTACTCCACCTCTTTACCCTGCCGACCTGGCATGGCTGCTACCAGGCTAGCCCTCCAAGTGTGGCTGCCCTGGGATGGGTCTCTGCTCTGGAGTCCCAGATGGTTGAGGACTTGCTGGGTTGGTTGGTGGGTCTCCCTGGAACTCTGGGCTCAGGCTGGGCTTGTTCTGCTTTGCTGGGGTTCATGGCTGCACGGTGCTGCTCTGAGATTCACAAACAAACAGGAAGCCAGGCCACTTCCTCCTTGCTGGGGCTGGTCCCCCGTCCTTATCGCCCAGTTGGCCCAGAGGGGAAGGGGCGGCCCAGGATCCACAAGGCAGCTTCCTGGCAGAGGTGGCAGGGGAATTCTGGGTCCCACTGCCAGGATGAGCTTCCCAACCCTGGGCACCGATTTGTTCAGCTGGGACAGCCCTTCTGAGAATCAAAGTTAGGCTCCAATCTCCCCATTTCAAGAAGACTTTTCTGATAAAGCCCACCCTGTTTGGCTCCCCGTTACCCCTCTGGTTCTGAGACGGAGTTCTTTTGAACTTGTAGTAAGCAGCTCTCTGGGTGTTTGTGGTGGGAGAGTGTTTTCTCCCGAAGGCAGCACCAACATTTTCTTGACTTTTCCCAGTAGCCACGCAGCACGGCACTCTGCTCGTGCGGGATGCCCAATAAATGTTTGTGGACTGAATGACTGACCAACTCCAAAAGGGGTGCCAGGGAACGAGCGAGACGGAACAGGGCTGTAGTCCCAGCTCATGGTGGGGTCAGAAGGCTTCGCTGCTCAGGACCGGACCACGGAGCGTCTGACCGGCGGGAGTGGTGGGGACTGTTAAGAGAGTGTGAAGCAGAGGTGTGGCTGGGGTCGAGGCCGGGGTTGAGGGCTGCAGATACTATAGTCCACAAGTCCTGAAGGCCCACTAGACTGCCCGGAACATCAGTTCCCTGGTTTCCAATCAATAATCAGTTAGTTGCTATATACACTACACCCGGGGTTGGGCAGGGGGGGAGGGTACCCTTTTTTTAACAAATTCAAATTTATAAAGCACAGTCAACATAAAAACAATGCTGACTATACTTTTAATCCTTCATGGTGACTCAGAGGGCGCAGTAGGACACCTCGGTGCTTGGGGCTGTCCTTACGCCTATCAATTACTTTAGAGAACATTAGCCGTGGGCCCAACAGCCTGCAGTGAGTCACTATCAGTTGCTTAAAAACAAAAATCTCGGCTATCAACTCGTTTAGTTGCCACTGTTCTCTTTTTTTTTTAAGAAAGCCAAGGACAGAAACCAAACTTAAAAACAAACAATAACTAGGAAACCCTAAAAGCTCAGTTATCTTCCCTTTGCAGTTGTTTGGGCTTCAAACAAAAGTTTCTCTGTTAAGCACCCGTGGTGCAGAGAAGCCTGTGGAGGTTGGAGGCCATCCGTGAGGACTGAGCAATGGGGGGCCAGGCTGGGGCTGAAGCGGAAGGCAAAGCAAGAAGGGCTGCCTGGAGGTGGGGACCCTGGACATTACAGGAGGGCAGAGAGGGAGTTGGAGCTCCCCGAGCCACATCTCCAAAGCTGCAAAGATGGTGCACACCACGGACCAGCAGCTCCCCTGACTCCACCTAATGTGGGTCACACAGGTGGACCGAGAGGTGACCCTGGAGGCCTGGTGAGGTTCCAGCACTCGTCATCTTCACCTGGCTCCATATACAATCTTATAGCATCGTGGGAGGGGGTCAGCTCCCTACGTGTCCTGCACAGTTTCCAAAGCTTCGACCAACAGCCAGTTTAGGGTGTTTCCCCCGAAAGTAGAGAAGGGGGAGCTTTATAGAGATGGCTAAGGGTGAGGGCCAAGGCTGGGCCCAGCATGAGGCCACAAACTGTAGCCTCCAGGGCTAGCAAACTACTGGACAGTAAGAGATGAGTGGAAACCTCAGCTTAAAAATACCCAATCTTGTTGTAAAGAGAAAGAACAGGAAGGAAGTGTGGGCAGGCAAGGCAGAATAGACAAAAAGCCCCAGAGAAGAATGAGATATTATTAATGGCCAGAAGCTGATCAGGGGGAACAGGTGGGGAAAGCCCTCCAGGTGCCCGAGGGGCTGGCGGGCAGGGGAGGGGATCATGTGCGTGGTTCAGCCACACCCTCCCAGAGAAATGATTTGGACCTACTGAGACCAGGAGTCAGATCCCCCCCAAAGAGCCCTTGGCCCAGGAATGGAGTGGCTGGGCATGGGGCCGCCCCAAAGGAGAGTAGGGCAGGGGTGACCAGAGGCAGACTGTCATGTCTGTCCTTCCCTCTCGGGGGAGAGAGCCACCTGAGCCACCGGACCCTCAGCTCACGCCTGGGCAGGGTGGAAGGGTGTTCAGTTGGCCTTGGAACAGCAGCCACTCTTGTGGAGGGAAGGGAGAACCGTGAGAGGGCTGAGTGAAGTGGCATGGGACCGACTCCACGCCACCGAGGTTACCGTCAGGGCTCTGGATCCAGGGTGCTGAGTTTCACTCCTGACTCAGCCACTTACTAGCTGCATGACCTGGAACTGATGCATAACTTCTCTGTGCTTCAGTTTCCTCATCTGTAAAATGGAGATGCCAGGAGTGGCAACCTCATGGTGTTGTGGTGAGGAGAGGATGAAGTGAGCAAATATGCCCAAGCCTTCTAGAACAGTACCTGGTACCTCGTATTGTTTTTTAAGTGTTAGCCTTTGGGGGGTGGAGTAGGGGGCAGTGCAGGTGATGGGTGGGAAGAAGCTCCCAACACCTCCTGTCCATGGGACAGCGCTTCACAGAGAGCCTGCACCACACCACGCTAGGAAGAAGGGGATAGAAATAAGATAGATGTGGTCTAAGCTCTCAGGAACCAGTGGTTTACGGAGGACACAGACAGCTAACCAATCACATTTCAGCATAATACAAGAGCATTTCATACCAAGTGCTGGAGCGCTTGGAAGACGGGGTAACTTTCCCTGCCTTCAGTGTTTGGGAGGTGTGGGGCATGCTAGTCTTAGAGGTTTAGTAACATAAGTCATCAGGCCGAGAAGGGAACATGGTATTCGAGGTGGGGCTCCTGGGCGATTGCCCAGGGGTCGAGAGCAGGGAGGGTGGCTGGGAGTGAGCAGTTTGGAAGGGTCAGCAGGGCCTGGGCTGGCAGTACTCTGTCAAGAGTTCGAACTTTAGCCCCTAGGCCTGAGGCAAGTGGAGAGGCTAGGAAGGGGGGACCCAAATCAGACTCTTGTATTTGAAAGAACTCTCTGGCAGAGATGTGGAGGGGAAATGAGCGGGGACGAGAACAGTGGCAGGGAGGCCAATTGCTTAAGTAACCCAGCAATGGTCAGGGCCAGAGACACCAAAAAGAGGACCCTTAGAAAGTGGACTAATGGGGGGTAGGGATAAATTAGGAGCTTGGGATCAACATATACACACTACTATATCCAAAACAGACAATCAACAAGGACCTACTGTATAGCACTCAATATTCTGTAATAACGTATATGGGAAAAGAATCTGAAAAAGAATGGACATATGTATATGTATAACTGAATCACTTTGCTGTACACCTGAAACTAACACAACATTGTAAATCAACTATACTCCAATATAAAATAATTAAATTAAAAAAAATAAGCTACAAGCATATATAGTACAACACGGGGAATACAGCCAATATTTTATAATAACTGTAAATGGACTATAACCTTTAAAATTTGTGAATCACTATATTGTACACCTATAACATATCATATTGTACAGCAACTATACTTCAATTAAAAAATAAAATAAAAATACTGCTCAAGGGAAAAAACAAAAGAAAGAAAGTGGACTAATTTGGAAGGATGGCAAGCAGAAAGGAGGGGAAACTGACCCTGTGGTTTCTGGTCTGGGCAACTGAGTGTTTAGCGGTGTCCTTATTGGAGATGGGGAAGAAAGGGAGCAAGGTGGGCTTGACAAAGAAGGTTTAGAAAGGGTGAGCTTGAGGCAATTCCCCGGTGGTCCAGTGGTTAGGACCCCGCGCTTTCACTGCTAAGGGCCCGGTCAGGGAACCAAGAGGCCCGCAAGCCATGCATCGTGGCCAAAAAAAAAAAAAGAAAAAGAAAAGGAAAGAAAGCAAGCAAGCTTGAGCTTGAGGTGGCTGATATAGCCAGGAGGGGCTTGGAGAAAGAGGAAATGGTGGTGCAGTGATGGAAATGACGTGGGGTTGCAGAAGACTCCCTTCAGAGTGAATCAGGGGACCTTGGACACGGAGCCATGGGCGATGTACGACACGTGGGGTCTGCAGGGGGAAACACAGAAGCAAGGGTACCAGAGGGGCTGACAGGGCTCCCCCACTCCCTAGCTCATGGCTAGAAACCTGCAAAGCATCACAGTTTCCATTGCCTAGTTAAATGACATTGCGGATTATATTATCTAAATTGAACTAAATTAACCTTCACGAAATGGACACGGGGTTTAAAAAGATTCCTGCAAAGGAGCTGCAGGTTAAAGATCACACTAATTCAGCAAAGCACTGCACTGGCACACAAGAAAGTGTCACCACTGGCGCTTGTCACACGAGCTCTTTGTCAGCCCCATCAGGAGGTTAACACGGGGACAACCCGATCAGGTCTGACACGATGACAGCCACAAAACGTTTTTTTGTAATTATCAAGGTCACTATTTGATATGTGAATTATACTTTCCACCATGGTTAAAAACAAACCTCACCCAAGTATATATTGTGCCCTGAGATATAAGGGTAGTAGGCTGTGTGTACACTTTGTAAGTAATTGAACTTATATGAAGGGCGCATGCTCGAATTTTATAATTGATGAGACGTAACTTCTCAGTATGAGAGTTAACATCTCACTCAGGATTTGATTTGGGGGAAAATTCTTAAGTCATAGGTTTCGGGTCCCAGGGCATGAACTGCTTTCCTACTTTATCAGTTCCACACATCTGCAGTGCTGTGTATTGTATTTACCTCTTAGAACAAAGGATGCTAGTACTCAAAGTGTGGCCGCAATGGCTCACTTCTCTTTCATTGCCATGGTCCTTCTCTTCTTTCTGGGGATGAGGGAAAGATTAGTTGAGCTCCCTGGAGAAAAGCATTAAGTAAATACAAGGCGTTGCCGAAGTTATTCTTACTGTTATTAACAACACTAACAGGCAGCAGCAGTGAACACTGCTCCAAGGTGTTCTCATAAGGATCCAGGTGAGAGGTTTCTAAACACATCCAACCTCTCATCTCTTAACAACACTTGAATCCAGGGGTCCTGCTGGCATATGAGTCCCACGGCACATGGAGGCTGATGGGGCTTAGAAAAACGGAAGCCCCCAAGGGATGGGATTGCCATTCTCTGAGGAAGGGAAGAGCTCGCCTCCTGCTAGGCAGCGTCCAAGTTCAGACTGGACCAGCGACTGGTTGAGAAAAGCCTTCCGCATGTCGGCCCAATGCTAGGGAGCTAAGACCTTCACCGGATACTTGGGTACCTGCGTTCCACTACCCTGAGGAAACTGGGGAGAACACACATGCATACAATTTTATATTAAAATAATTACTTTTACTTTTTCAAAGCACATTTGTGTGGGGAAGTTAATAGGGTGGGGATGATTATTTGCTACAATTTATGCCCAACACTTATTTATTGAGCATGTGTCGTGTATGCAGGATGCTGTACTAGGCGCTATGAGGACACAAAGATGGAGACCTCAGCACACTGATGACCCCAGTGGGCAAGTGGAGATATGCACATAACCAGGGCAGAGGGTGGACCCAGGGGCTTGAGGTTCAGACAAAGAAGAACCAGCCTCCCAAGGTGGGAAGAGAGTCAGGCAGTCATGGAAGCAATGATCTCTGGCCTGGACCTCAAAGGCTAGGAAGGTCTGGCCAGGTAGAAATGAAGAAAATGACATTCCCAAAGAAGGATGGCAACCCCAGAATGGGAAATGCATGGGATATGCATGACCAACAGTAGGGAGTCACTTGTGGCTGGCATCTGGAGGGTGAAGAAGAGTGGGGTTGGAAAGGTGAATTAGAACCAGATCTTTGGGACTTCCCTGGTGGTCCAGTGGTTAAGACGCCACGCTTCCATTGGAGGGGGCCGTGGTTCAATCCCTGGTCAGGGAACTAAGATCCTGCAGGCTGCACGGCACGGCCAAAAAAACAAAGAACCGAATCTTCAACAGCCATATGCTGGACTACGGGATTCAGAGTTTATCTTCAGTGAACGAGGGGGAACCTTGGAAGTTTTGGGGCAGGTGAGACAGTGAACCCAAAGAAGTTAAAAACAAAACGAAACTTGCCCAAGGTCCTACCGCGAGTTAATGTGTGGCCCAGCCAGGACTTGAATTCTGATTTGTATTGACACAGGCAAAGCTCCTGGACCTCAAGCTGACCAGACAAAAATGGGTCTGTGGGAAAGCGCTCCAGGCCAGGGATGGCCAGAGTGCTTCTCTGGGAAACCCAGGAGCCCGAGCCTCCAGGGAGCCTGGCATCCTACCCTCGACCCTCTAGTCGAGCTCACTCTTCCCATGGGGAACCTGGGGGCTGGATGAGCCAGGAGCTGGACTGCAGTCCTTGGGAACCCAAATGGATTGGGCTGGGAATGGCTAAGTGTGGGATCACTGCAGTAAAATCAAGGGAGAGGAGCCCTCGGAGTGTCTCGGGGTGTGGGGAGCGCAGGGCGTGGGCCTCGCATTCCTGGACGGTTGAGACGCCACAGCCGATGATTATCATTATTATTCCTGCTCTGGCGTCTCCGAGCTTTCATCCTGCAGGACCCTGCCTTGCTGGCCGGGCTTCACCAACTAGCAAGTCCTCCTGGGGTGGGGCAGGGCAGGGCGGGCGGCTCCTGGCTGCAAGGGAACACAACACCATTGTGGGTTTCTTCCCCAGTGAGACCAGGGAACTTCCGAACCCTGGAAGCAGGGGCAGACTTTCTCAAGGGGGAAACTGAGGCACAGAGCCAGGGTATGATGTGACCGAGATCATGGGGGCCTCCCTCTCCTGCCGCTACTCATTAGACCATACTTATCCTTCCCCAACTGGAGCAGATCTTGTCGGCCTGGAGGGGAGCCAGGGAAGGCGTGGATGCTGGAAGAGAGAATTGGGTCTGGGCCAGGACAGCAGAACTGGTACCTTCCTTGCCAGGTGCTGTGGGCATCACGAGGTCAGGCTCCTGGTTTCTTGTCTCTCTGGAAGTTCCTTCCTTATGGGTGGATCTTCCCCAAGCCCCTGAGGGAGGCCAACGCTGCAGACACGGATGTGCAAAATGCCTGGCTCTCTCGCCTCAGAGGCTACCTTCAGCACCTGGAGAGGAAGAGCCCCGGCCTCATAAAGATGGGTCAGGCCAGGGGCAGAGGCCCAGACGGTGGCTCCGAGACAGGGAAGGGGTCGTGTGTGCCTGCACGCACACATCTGCTTATGCCAGGCTTCCAGCAGTGACATGTCCCTGCCTGCCCAGATGAGATCAAAGAGAGAAAGACTAGGAGGAAACGTGAACAACACCTGATGACTGGGTGGGGGGCTGGGTGGGATCCTATCGGCAGTGGGAACCCCAAGGAGAAGGGAGGGAGCGACCGGACCAGCTGAGGCTGAGACCCAGTTGGCAGGTGCTAGAGTCACCTTTCCTACTCTCTGCTGTCCACCTAGAGCCGCAATCTTTGGGAACATCTTCTGGCTTAAAGCAGAGGTGGGACGACACAGAAGAGTGGGCTGAGGAGCTCGGAGGAGAGAAGACAGTAAACAGGGCTTCAGGGGCTCGCACAAGCTCTCACATCCTCAGTGCCTCCCAGAGCCAGACAACCAGCATTCATTTATCTAGCATTTATTAAGCAGCTCCTGTGTGCAAGGCGCTCACTCTGCTTGGAGCTGTGGGTGTAGATGCTTAAGACACGGCCTCTGCCCTCAGGAGAAAGACACATCTTCCTATTTGGTTTCACCCCCACTCCACACAGTGCAACGCCAGGATCCCGGGCTGGGTCCCAAGGCGTCTTCCTCTTTGGCCATTTTTGGCTATTCCTGCACTGGCTCTTCTGTTTCCACCGTCAGCTCTGAGTTCACACAGCAGCAAGGCTCCCTAGAGCTCTTACCGCATTCTTGACACTCACCCGGCTGAAACATTCACCCTTCAGCCACAAAAGTCATCTCTGGAGCTCGCCACTGCGATTAGGTGGCTCCCAGAAGACGCACTGTTCTTCGGGTAACCCTACCCTCTTCCAGATCAAATACAGCCTGTAAAACCCGCGCCCGCTTGCCTTCTCCTGTCGGTGACCCGAAGAACCTGCAGGGGTTCCCTGTTACTCAGCAGATACAAATGGAACTTTGGGGCTATTTTCCAGAGCCCTCCCATGCATTTCTTACCCAAGGGTGTCCCTACGCACCCCCAACACACCCATCTTGTAATGTAACTCAACATCTAAGCAAGAGCGAAGAGCTCTTTAAGGGAATCACTTCCACATTTATAGTTGATTTATTCAACAAATATTTAATAACAGCTGCTCTGTACCAGGCACTGTGATACACACTGAAATGGCTCTACTGGTGTCTAGGGCACACATGCCTCCTGTCCTGGGGGAGCCCATGAACTAGCAGTCAGGACAGACACTAATAATGAAAACAGAATGGTATGTGTGGTCAGACTGGATGACCATCCGGGGTTCCTGAGAGTCTGGGCATTTCCACTGTGGCCGCAGAGATCTCCTTTACTTCCTGCCTGGATTCTTCACAGAGCAGAGTGTGCCTTGCTGGGGAGGAGTGAAGAATGTTCCAACAGGATGTCCATATGGTAAGACCCCAAGGACATCAGCCCCCATTCTGTTCTCTCTATGGGGGCGGGGGTGCCTAGGTCCCGCCCTTCATGAATTCAGTCTCCTAGGGAAGTGACACAGGAAGCAGGGACAGAATTAAGAGCTTAAGAATTCCACGTCCATATATGTATACATATAGCTGATTCACTTTGTTATAAAGCAGAAACTAACACACCATTGGAAAGCAATTATACTCCAATAAAGATGTTTAAAAAAAAAAAAAAAGAATTCCACGTCCAAACAAACCATTTGGGCCATGAAACTGGCAAGGGCTGCAAAAGGCGCTTCCCGATTTCACCATGCTGGGAAATTCCAGGCCCCGCCACCTCTCCAGAAAGCAGCCACCTTGTTGAGGGTGAAATCCACTCTCCTCTGTTCTCTGACTACATCACCTGTGAGAGGTAGTACCCCTGTTTCATTTGGAAACTTGTCCATGAATGAAGGCTCTAACCTCTCATGCAGATGTTGGATGTTGAGTCAGTGGTTAACCACTGTAATTGGCAGAAAAAGTCCTCCAACTATCTAACCAAGAAGAGACACTGCAAATTCCACCCTCTTGCTCATCTGCTGCTCTCTGTGGGATGCAGAAAATAAGGAAAAGTTATAAAGCATTCCCTACTCCTGATGTTCCCAGAAAACTTCTGTAAAACTGACATACGGGGCTTCCCTGGTGGCACAGTGGTTGAGAGTCCGCCTGCCGATGCAGGGGACACGGGTTCGTGCCCCGGTCTGGGAAGATCCCACATGCCGCGGAGCGGCTGGGCCCGTGAGCCATGGCCGCTGAGCCTGTGCGTCTGGAGCCTGTGCTCCGCAACGGGAGAGGCCACAACAGTGAGAGGCCCGCATACCGCAAAAAACAAAACAAACAAAAAAACACCTGACATATTTTAAAGAGCTTCAGATCTGATGACCCTCATTCTCTCTAAGTGTCAGCATCCCATATGGAAATTTTTTTAGAGGTAGTGACGGTGGGTGTAGGTGGGGGGGACACATTCTTGAATACAAGCCCTCTGGGTGCTTTCCTGGGCCCCTCTCCTGGTGGGGGTCTCTCCCTGTTTGGTGCCTCTGTCACCTGGTTGTGAAACTGGAATGGGCCCCAAGAATGCTGCGGAGGTGGCAGGCGAGGCGTGGCTGGCATGTGCAGGGCAGCAGCAGAGCATTGCTTCTGAGGGGTGCCTGGTAGAAGTGAAAGGGGCTTGAGCTCTAAAACAAGAAAAGCGTCAGAGAAAGAAAATGTTCAAAGGCTGCTGCCCTACGTTTGTGGGAGTTTCCTGAATCAACGGGCAAATCCCTACATTAGAAAGAGTTTCTTTCCCTCCTTCCTCCCTCCCTCCCTCCCTTCTTTTCTTCCTTCCTTTCTTTTCTCTCTTTTTCAAGGGAAACACCTTTCTCCTCTCTTCCAGCCTCAATTCTACCATCCTTTCAGGTCAAGCTAACGGCCAACCTCTTTCATACAACTTTCCCATCTAGTCAGTCTCTGGTGGTCCGCTCCTTTCTCTGAATTCCCATTGAATTCTATTACACTCTGGGGTTTGGTATGACTCCACAGTGTCTCGTGTTCCCCAGCTGTTTTATGTACATGAATCTTGTCTCCCCAACCAGGCTGTAGATGTCTAGAGGGCAGAGGCCATTCCTTACATTTTGGAGTCCCTCAGCCCAGGGCTGGGTATGTAATAGGCCTTTATTGAGACCTTCATTTGCCTTTTGCTTCTCATTAAACATCAGATAATTCACACAGGAAAAAAAATTCTTAACTGTAATAAATGTGAATAAGCCTTCATTTGGGTAGTGTCACCAACCGTCTTATACAACATCAGAGAATTCTTACTGGAAAGAAACCTGTATCTGATGTGTCCGTGCGAGAGCCCTCGGGTGAGTCTGGAGGCTTGGACGGCACATCTGACTCAGTGTCCAGGAATTTAATTACATAGAATGTGATGTGCGGAAACCTTCGCTCAAGATGAGACCCAACATCGGCGTGGACATTAGAGAGAAACCATGAATCCGAAGAATGTGGAAAAACCTCCCTCGAGATCTTCACCAACCAGCATCAGAGGATTCACCTGAGAATCCAGAGCAGTGTAGATGCAGGGGATACAATAGGCCGCGAAGTGGCCACAGCTCCTGTCTCCGTACAGCTCGTCTCTAGACCCATTTCCCAGCTGAAAAAATTGAGACTTGGAGAGGAAGCATTGTCTACCGTGGGTACAGCTGGAATATCACAAAACTTTGATTAGCACTTCTTCTTTTTTAACTTGAAACACTCCCGTGTCTCGCTTTCTTTGTCATTATCTCTCACTAGGGAAGGGAAGGGATGATTTCCCCCCTAACGCTTGTTATCAACGGAGAAACGGGGCTGGAGGGGCTGCATCACTGGTTCAGTGCACAGGTCAGGATAAGAGCTCTATTCTCTGGGGACCTTAATTTGATGTGCTGGGGACCATGCTAGGTACTAAGGGAGACCAAAGGTGAGAAGAGAGGTCCTGTGCCCTCAAATAGCTTTTAACCCAGGGAGGGAAGTGACCGGTTCTTAATATCTGCTTTAACAGAAGTGCATATGAATTGCAGCAGAGGCATGAAATGCAGGAAAGGAGCCCTACGTTCCTTTGGGGGAAGTAGGAAAAGCCTCACAGAGGAGGTATTGTTTTAGCTGAGACATAAAGGATGAGGAGTTTGCCAGACAAACAAGGGAGGATAGGGTGTTCCAGGCAAAGGCGTTGACGTAAGAAAGGGCACGGCTGTCGAGGATCCTGAAGAAGTTCAGTATGTAAAGCATGGGGTGGGGGGCATAAGCTAGCCAGGCACTTAGACAGGGGGAAGATAACATGAAGCCCTTGAACGCCTTGCAAAGCAGGTCAGATTTCCCTTTAAGCAATGGAAGCTGTATTAGTTTCCTACTGCTGCTGTAACACATCACCAAACACTGGGTGGCATGAAACAACACAGACGTATTATCTGACAGTTCTGGAGGTCAGAAGCTTCACTTGGCCAGAATCAGGGCGGCAGCGGGCTGTGTTCCTTCTGGAGGCTTTAGGGAAGGGTCCGCTCTCTGCCTATCCCTACTTCTAGAAGCTGCCCACATCCCTTGGTGCTTGTCCCTCTCCCATCTTAAAGCCAGCAATCACACCGTTCTGACCACCGCTTCCTGGTCACATCTCCTTCTCTGACTCTCATGTTCTTGCCTCTCTGGTCTAAGGACCTTTGTGATTAGATTGGACCCACTGGATAATCCAGGCTAAGGTCTGCATTTCAAGATCCTTAACTTTAATCCCATTTGCGAAGTCCCTTCCACCAATGTAAGGTATTCGCAGGTTCCAGGTTTAGGGAGCCATTATTCTGCTTATCACAGGAGCCATTCAAGAATTCTGAGCAGGAGAGTGGTGAGACTGAATTGGGGTGTCGGGCAGTACAGCATTGTGGTTCAAAGGAGTCTGACCCCCTGGGTTCAATCCTGAGTCTGTCACCTAAGGCTTATGTGACCTTAAGTTATTTCCTACTTTACTTCCCTCTGCCTTGGTTTCCTCATCTGTGAAATGCGGATACCTACCTCAAAAGGAAGTTGGAAGGATTCTATGGGATAACAGAGGCGCAACATTTAGGACAGTGGAAAGCACTCAATAAGTTGGGGACATCTAGGTGCTTAGTAGGTGCTAAGAACAGCAACCTGGTCAGGAAAAAGACATGCACAGTCAATGCCATGCAGAGCAGAACCAAGCTTCCTATGGGGCCCATTTCCACGGGACCATCAACACGACAGGAAGGAGGTCTCCAAGCACCAGGGGATTCTTTGGCACAGAGGAAATATGCAGCTCCTCCGAATGGCAACACATTGCTCAGGGGAACACGCACCTTCTTCGTCTCTGTTGGCAAAATGAAATGAGGGATGTAAGTTGCCCCTGTCTCTTCCCATTCTTAGGTGAGGCTCCGTCTGTGTTGGATAATATTAGAGAGTAGGTGATGTTTTGTCTTAAGCTCTTCCCTGAGATCTCTGAAACAACTGTTTGGTTTGACACAGGGCCAGTTAAAGACCTGGTGACATCTTACCTATGCACCCAGTGTGATGGTAAGCGTGATTCTGAGTCGATGGGCACCTGGTTTAGGGCCTCTTGCTTCCCTATCTTCTCTGTCCCCATTTTTCTGTCACCAATGAACCTGAAGCTTTTTTCTCTAAGGAACTCCAAAGGAGTGGCTTTGGATCTCCTAGAAGTTTACCTGCAAGTGGATAAAACACAGGACACCCAGTTAAATCTGAACTTTTGGATAAACAATGAATAATTTTAGTAGGTCCCAAATGTTACTATGTGTTTAGTACTACTTTAAAACCAGATTATTTGATTAACCAGAATACTCCGTTCCCTAAGTCCACCATATAACACTTCACTCTATGTTCTGTGATGTAATCTGCAAGGGAGATTGGTATTCAAGCCCTGAAAGTTCTAGTACCTTCTAGAAGGTGGCTTTCTCTGTACTAATACAGGGAAGGGAGGGAAGGCTGTGTTTCTAGAGGGATGGCAAGGGTCAGAATAGTAAGGACTGGTCCCTCTTATTTCCCTGATATGAATGGTGATAGCACTTCAGCTGTGACACACTTTCTTCTTCTGCCCAACTCTGAGATTCAGAGAAGCTCAGATCCTGCTCTGTATCTCACCTGCCCTCGCCATTAATGGGGAGCATCATTCCCACTGCTCCATGACCTAAGGATGACCAGGATACCCATTCTGTTAGGCATACTGAGATTTTTTTGTCTATATTGCTGTCTTTGATGTTGAATAGGTTAACGAGGATGACTCTCACCATCTATGGCATGTAAGTGAAAGTCTGTCTTCGGATTGAGTGTGTGTAATTTGTAGTCACTGTTACGTGAAACACACAAATAAAAGAACGGTTGAAATCTGCAAGGGTAGTCACTATTGGCACTAGGTTTGCTCAGGGTTTGGCTCCCAGGCTGCATCCCATATGACTCTGCAATCTAGAATGATCCTCCTTTTTTTACTCACCTCTAGCTCTCACTCTAAACTTCCGTCCTTGGTCTGTGGGGGGTAAACACCTGAAATCCTCCAATTTACCTTGTTTGCAGGCCAAGGCTCAGCCTTGCCACCAGTTCCGGCTTCAAGCAGATGGTCAGTTCCTGGTCACTCCCTGGTCATCTGCAGGCCACTCTCCACTGCAGCATATTATCCAGCCTGGTGCTGTCAGGTGGGACTTGAGTTTTCGCATCAAAGTTGTTTAGACGTGTTGTGATGGCTGATTTCTACATTTCTATACTCACCCCATTTAAGTATCATTTCAGAGACCCTATAAGTAAACGCAAAAGATTATAACAGTTTATGAAATGGGAGGTGAAGCCTGGATTTTACCCCCCTGGATGTGAACGGACTCACCCAGCCAATGGCAGGAGGCTGGGCCCCACAGGATTAACTGTGTCCTCTAGCGCCTCCATCACTTCTAGAAAAAGGTGGCCCTGAGGGGCCAGGGGAATTAATGACTTAATGCCTACAAAGCTCTAGGAACAACTTGCTGCAGGTAAGGTCTCATTATCGTTAATTGTTGTTATTATTGTTGTTATTGTTGTTCTTAACCCAACTCCTGTGAAAAGCTGCCACAGCTTAGTTAACGCCCTCAGGTCAGGGGTTTAATGAATACCTCTGAATGCCAGAGGCCCCAGGCACTGGGTTCCCGCCCCCCACATCCAGGCTCCACCTCCTCTGAGCTCCACCTCCTCTGAGCTCCGCCTTCAGGGTCCTCTCCACCCCCAGATCTTCCCAGGCGCTATCTGAGGGGCTCCATCATTCTTCAGTTCTGCTAACAACTCCAGGTCCCACTGCAGCCCCCAGTTTCAGACACCCTCATCCCCTTTGCCACCCCTCCCCCATAATCTCACACACCTCCTTTGGCCATGCCTTCCCTTTTCTGCAGTTTTCTGGCCCCCCCCAACACGATTATTGGGGCTCCCAAACTGTTCTCCTGAGACGAGCCTTTTGAGGGTCACAAAAGCTAAGAGGGGGTTCCCTGAGCCCTGTCCTTCCCCCTTGCAGCCCCCATGTCCTGCACTGCATCCCAGGTCTCCCATCCCACCTCTGTGAGAATCTGGGGATTGTTCCTCAGGTAGCGAGGCCGGTTGGGTGGATTGCCAGGTTTAGGGTTGCGGAGTCTGGCATGAACTCACAGCCCCGAGCAGCCGCCTTCTTTAATTAATTAATTCCAATTTTTAAAAACCATGTCTTCCATTGGACCTCAGTGCATGCCTCTGGGGCATATGTCACATCAATTACTGACAACAATTAAGCACGCTGCCTAAAAGAATCCCAGAACCTCTTTAAAGACTCCAACACAATTCGGGCCTAACTGCCTTAGATCACTCCCCTGTAGATGGACCTTGAGGCAGAACCCCCCCAAGGAGGAATTGGGCTGCAACAGTCCATTTAGAGATGGGAGATGTTCTCCTGCTGTGGGTCCCTGCCCTGGGCTGCCCACACTCCCTAACCCCAGGATTCCTCTTGGCCTTTGCTTAGATATCCAGGAAGCTAAGCTATTGCAGGTAGTGTGGTAGCCTGTTTTCTCTGGGGTAGAACCAGCGTCCCTCAGATCCCAAAGCCCACCTCTCTACTGTCCTAACTGGCCATCTTGCATGGATAAAGATGAATCTCAGACCCTCACACAACAGGACAGAGACTAAGTTAATCTGTCCTTCCATCCGTAGAGATGGTAGACGCAGGGTTAACTAATGCTTTCACAAGTGGTTTGAATGAGGAGGATGGTTAGAGAGGCTGCTTGAGGGTAGAGATGATTTCTTCATGGTCCTTGATTCCCACCTTGCATGACAGACACTTAGTAGTTATTTCAGGAAGGTTGATAGAATGTTGAAGACAAGAAGGGGAAAGAGCAGCAGTGCAGCTACAAATAGTTTTTCCGCGTGCGAAGCAAGTAGGCAGAATGGGATTGGCCTAAAACCTTAGCCTCATTAACACTGTCCTTTCTACCCAACTGGAATTTAAAAAATCATTAATAGGCCAGGTAAACATGGCTTTCCTTATCTATTTAACTCATTTCTTTATTGGCGTATGTGAGTCGACCGTGAATCACTTTGTCCTTTTATGTTGGCCAGAATCGTGGCTGGCCATCTGAGTCCAAACTTCCAGACAGCAGAGACCACATCTGTTCCATGTGCTTTGTATGGTGTCCAGCAAAGGGCTGCAGTACCGTGTCACAGACAAGTCCTGGACTTGGACCCTGGAGACCCAGGATTTCATTCTGGCCATGTTACCCTTAAAATCCGGACGTTGTTTTTAATTTGCTGTGAAAAATAAAGAGCAGAAATGTTTTCTGCCCTTCCTACCTCCCAGGGTTGAGGGAAGGATTAAATGAAATACTGTAAAAGAAAGATTTGTAGAAACTGTCACATATGTGTTTTCTGTTTGTTTTTTGGGTTTTTTGTTCGGTTTTGGTTTGGGGTTTTTTTGGCTGCATTGGGTCTTTGTTGCTGCGCGCGGGCTTTCTAGTTGCGGTGAGCGGGGGCTACTCTTGGCTGCGGTGCGCGGGCTTCTCATTGCGGTGGCTGGTCTTTGCTGTGGAGCACGGGCTCTAGGCACGCAGGCTTCCGTAGTTGTGGCACGTGGGCTCAGTAGTTGTGGCTCGTGGGCTCTAGAGCGCAGGCTCAGTAGTTGTGGCACACGGGCTTAGTTGCCCCGCAGCATGTGGGATCTTCCCAGACTAGGGATCAAACCTGTGTCCCCCACATTGGCAGGCGGATTCTTAATCACTGCGCCAACAGGAAAGTCCCCATATGTGTGTTTTTTTTTAAATTATGAAATGCATTTTGATGATAAGGACACCAGAGGAATCATGATCCAAACTCTGAGATGTTTCAAATGGAGAAGCTGATGTATAGAGACCACAGCTGTAGGGAACTATGAACCAAATGATGGTCCCAGGCCATGCTACGGCTAAAACCAGCCGAGACTGAAGTGACACTGGCTATCTCAATGGCCTCCCTCATCTCCATCCCCAAAGCAAAACAGCTCCACTCACATACCTGGCCTTTTGGTGCATTCTGGCATTTGTTTTAACTTTTCTCTGGAATTTTAGTGGGGGTGGTGGGAGCTGAGGGGGCACAGAATGAAAGCACCCATGGACTACATATACACATGTCCACAAGTGCACGCACACGTACGAGCCCCATGGCAGACAAGCCAAAAGTCCAGCTTTCTGAGCTGTCTTTAAACATTATTGCTTAGAGATCTGAGAAAAAAGAAGTGAATACAAAAGGGGAGTCCGGGACAGCTTTATCCATTCTGTAAAAGGGGCAGTTTCCAATAGGAAGGGCTTAAAGATGAGAATTGGATAGTAACTCTTAGGAAAGGAATGGAATTCCAAGGTATTAACGAACACAGTCAACTTTCTAAAGTAGAATCCTAGGTATCAGCTCTGGAAGGCACTAAGAGCCATATAATCCCCTCTTTTTACAAAGCCTCAGAGGTGGAGTGACTGTACAAAGGTCACAGCACTACAAGTATTAGGGCCTAGGAGACCACGACCAGGGCTCTGGCCCCAAGTCCGGTGCAGTAGGACGGGGTTACATTAGTTAATGGGTGGGCAGGGAGCCACAACCACTGCCCCTCTATAAGTACAGGTGGCAAGAACTATTATTGACTATAATTGACTGGGGGTACACCCCTGGAAACTTGGGGAGCAAAGAAACGCAGTGAATAGGGAGCTTGTACCAGCCTGTCCAGCTCACCTTACAGGAACAAGATAACTCTGCTGCTGTTTAAATTAAATTTGTGAAGGTTTCCAGAGCTGTCAAAATATAAAGAATTTTCACTAAAATTTTTAAATCAAAAAAAAAAAAAAAATGGTGGGACTAGTGGTTAGGATTCCAGGCTTTCACTGCCATGGCCCAGGTTCATTCCCTGGTCAGGGAACTGAGATCCCGCAAGCCACGTGGCGTGACCAAAAGAAAAAGGGGGGGGCAGGGGGTTCTGTTGGTTTCTGCCCACGGCCTTAATGAGAAAGTTAGTGAAGAACTATCCAGGGCCAGGAAACCAGGATGACAGAAGCCTCGTCTTCCAATAAGGCCAGATGTGGGTGCTAAATGTTGCCTATAATGACTGCTAAGACGAAGAAGGGAGGCACTGGGACTAGCAAAGTGATGACAGCCCTTCTTCCTGTAGCTTCTCAAGGGGGAAGAGTTAAGGGAGAGCAGAGGGACTGGGCTCGCCTTGCCAGGCCCAGGGCCTTCCAGAGTAACAGTTGCCAAGGCTTCAGATACACAGGGCAAGTGCCAGGGTCCTGGAGAGAGCAAGGATGAAAAAAACCATGAACTAAAGGAGATGCAGATGTAGAACTGAATATTAGAATTATCGTCCCTCACATGGCCAGGCTACCTGTTTTAAATCCAGAGGAATATGTAGCTGTTTTTCCGAGAAGGCCTGTTAAACCCTTTGACAGGACAGCACATTGGGAGTCCTGCTTTGCCTCCATTGTTGACTGGGCTGGGTGACATGGGCTGAGCCAGTAAACATACCTTGGCCTGGATTTCCTTCACTGGGAATAATACCTGTTCTGCCTGCTTCATGGGGTTGTTGCAAGATCTGATAATGGACATAACCTTTCTGCAAAAACCATAAAGCCTGCTTCAAATGGAAGGTGACAATATTACTATTCCAATGACGAGGAGCCCTTCAGAGGTTTGGCCTGTGGGTAGAAACTCCTAGAGACTTGGTTCCTTATCCGTCACTCTGCATACCCCTCTTCCAAGCAGGGTAGCCCTGACAGGCAGAGGGTGGGGGATGGATCAAATGTCCAAGAAGGCGAAGCTGGACACCTCAGTCAGATATTCCAGGCTCACCAGCCTCCACGGATGCCAAGTTATTTCTCACACTGAATCTAAGTCTTTTCTTTTACTACTTATGCTTGCTTCCTCCTGTTCTGCCTGAAGATTTTCTCTACTTGCTAAAATATGATATCATTTTTAGTGTTTACCTACTGAAGACACTCACTATTGAAGAACACGACCCAAAGTTGCTAAATTGCAATCCCTAGAGTATGGAGTCCAAGTGTAATAAAAACCAAGCATAGGTTTTTGAAAGTAGCTAAGGACGGAGTTAACCCTCAAACCCCTTTATAAAGTTTCCATCTCTTCCCTAACCTTTTCCCAGACTCAGGTCATTTTACTCTCCACAGGAATTTTTGGGGGGCTGCTATTTTGGGGAGAAATACCTGCATGTGTCTTCCAAATGTTGAGAGCTCAGCCTCAGTGCAAGAACATTTGTTAAGTGTGCTTTTAATAATGGAAGGATAGGGCTTCCCTGGTGGCACAGTGGTTGAGAGTCTGCCTGCTGATGCAAGGGACGCGGGTTCGGGTCCCGGTCCGGGAAGATCCCACATGCCTCGGAGCGGCTGGGCCCGTGAACCATGGCCGCTGAGCCTGCACGTCCGGAGACTGTGCTCCGGAAGGATAATAAGGAATTCCAAGTAAGATAAAATTTGGAGGGACTTCCCTGGTAGTGCAGTGATACCGGTTCGCTACCTGGTCCGGGAAGATCCCACATGCCACAGAGCAACTAAGCCCATGCGCTACAACTACTGAGCCTGCGCTCTAGAGCCCACAAGCCACAACTACTGAAGCCTGCGCGCCTAGAGCCCGAGCTCCGCAGCAAGAGAAGCAACCGCAATGAGAAGCCCCCGCAATAAGCCCATGCACCGTAACAGGGTAGCCCCTGCTCGCCGCAACTAGAGAGAAGCCCGTGAGCAGCAACGAAGACCCAACACAGACAAAAATGAAAAAATAAATTTATTAAAAAAAAAAAAAAGGGGGTTCCCTGGTGGCGCAGTGGTTGAGAGTCCACTTGCCGATGCAGGGGACACGGGTTCATGCCCCGGTCTGGGAAGATCCCACATGCCGCGGAGCGGCTGGGCCCGTGAGCCATGGCCGCTGAGCCTGCGCATCCGGAGCCTGTGCTCCGCAACGGGAGAGGCCACAACAGTGAGAGACCCGCGTACCGCATTAAAAAAAAAAAAAAAAGTTAAACTTTGGAAATCATCAAGGAAGTTTGGTTTATGGTGGGAAAGGTCATGCCTTGGTTCTACTCCGTCTAAGGCCTTTACCTTGCTGGGTTCATTTCCTCTCTCTGTACTCCAAGCACTTTCAATTATGGACTACTTCTCTTGGCTATGAACTTGGATAAATGCTACCTTGTTAGCTAATAGTACCCTTAATTATATTAATGATTAATAGCTAATTAGTCATAATGCTATAATACTTAAATGGAGGCTTCCTTTCTTTCAGCAGCTCCCTGTCTCAAGCGCACACGCGTGCGCGCACACACACTCACACACATATCCCCTTCCCTATTTCTGGCCACAGAACAAGCACGGCTCTAAATATGTTCTTCTGGCCACCCTGGGTGATCTCTAAATTTCTCGCTTTATTAGCTGTCCCATTACTCTAGCGAACGACCACTACTGCTTATATTTTACCTCTTTTATTTCTGTCTTCTGTCACTCACACTGCTCTTCAGTAACAAGGAGGCCAGAGTCAAGTTGTTTGTTTTCTTACCTTATTTCATAAACCAAAGAAGTTCTTTTACTTCTAAATCTCACTCGAGCCTACTTTTCTTCACTTCACCTTTCCCTAATCTTAACCCGCCCCCCACTTCGTGGAATCCCACCCCCCAGAACCCAAAGCTCCCTCCCACTATACATTTTGGCTTCCTTTCAGCAGCCACGCCCCCAAACACAAGAAGAGCGGTGCGCACGCGCACTCCACGCCTTTACCTGGGTGCCCGGGAGTGGGTGGAGTGGGGGAGGCGGGGGTGGAGCGGGAATCGGCAGTTTTGTGGGCGGCGGAGCGCTCACAATGTGAGCAGGAGGGAGAAAAGGTGCGCCGGGGCCGGCCCTGAGGGCTGCGCATGCGCGCTGCCGCGCCCAGCGGCCGGGATGCCAGGGGGGCGGGCGGAGGGAGGTGTCGGGCTCCCCGTAGGGCGGGGGGGCCGGAGAGGGAAGGGGCCGCGGGCGCGCGCGCGCTCTCGCCGGCGCTCGCCCTCCCTCCCTCCCTCCCTGCCCTCCTCTCCGCACACACAAGCACACACGCACACCCCCTCCCCTGCCTCCCTCCCCGCGCGCCGCCCGCCCCGCCGGCCCCGCTCGCCCTCGCGCGCTCGGAAGGGAGTCGCGAGACGTCGGAGCGGCGGCCACGTAGCGCTGCGGCGGCGGCGGCGGCGGCGGCGGCGGCGGCGGCGGCGGCGGCCGAGGCCGGGACTGCGGAGCGGCCCTGAGGACAGACGTTGGGCAGGGGGGAGGGGCCGGCCCGGCCGGCGGTTGTTACTCGAGCGCCGCGGCTACAGGCCCCCCGCCGCAGGGATGGACCGCCGAGGCGGTGGTCGGGGCGGCGGAGGCGGAGGCGGCCGGCCCGGGTGAGTAGGGGCCCCTGCCCCCAACGCACACGCCACAGTCGCGGCTGCGCCCCTGGCAGCAGCCCTTCCTCTCCGCCGCCCGCTGAGCCGACTGGGGCTCTGGGCGCCGGGTGAGCCCTTCGCCAAGGCAGCTGCGTCCAGTAGGCCGGAGCAGCCCCCATCCGGCGGGGAGGCCCGGGGCGCTGCGCTCTTCTGGCCCCGAGCCTGGGCCGGGGGCGCCCGCTTCTGCACCTTCGCCCCCTCCTTCCCGGACCCGGGCCGGACTCCAGTTTTGCAGAGTCCGCTCGCCCCGCGGCCCGAGGAGAGGCTGGTGTTGCACGGGTTAGCGGGCCGAGGGGGAGGTTTGCACCGGTCCTCCTCCGAGGATTCGCCTGCCCTGAAGCTGGTGGCTTGCACCCCCTACCTCCCCTTCCTTCCCTGCGGCTGCGCCCAAACCCCCAACCCCCGGGAGTATTGTGCCGCCTGAGATAAAATGTATCTAGTGTACAACCGCCCAACACTCACCCGGAGGGTAATGCAGACCTTTCTCCACCCCCACCACCTCCTCCCCTCCAATCAGGCTCTGCTTGAGATTCTTAGATGGGAGCCACTAAAGGTAGTGACACCCGCGTTACATCTGCACGGAACATGTTCATTGTCGAGGAATGTCTCCTGTAGAAATGATAAATGCCCCTGCCTCACCCTCGAAGACTGTCTTCACGATTTAAGATCCCATATGCTCTTCTTGAAGAGAGCCAGTCTTTGATCACATCTAGCATATCCCTCCCCCACAAAACACACACGCACACTTCCTGATTGCGGAACAGTCCCTGTCATCGCGGATCCATTGTCAGGAATGGCTTGTGCCAATCAAAGGAATGTGCTTTTGCCTTTGGAGAAGGGTGCCTTCCACAACCATGTTCTCAGGATGGTGCTGCGTGAGTCTGGCTTTGATTGTCCCGTGTTCAAGCATCATTATTACAGTGTTTCCCCTATATGCATCTCCCATGGACCCTCAGTAATACCTGAGTGATGCTTTTTTCCCAGTTAATTACATACATATGGTGTGTGGGAATTTCATTGTATTTTAAATTTCATTTATTTTTGTTGTAATTTTTAACATCTATGGTCAAGGCATAGTAAATATATAGGGTAATATTTTAGGAAGAACGTGTATTTTTTCCCAGAGATGGTCAGATCCATATTGTTCTGGGAATGGCAACTAGCACATGCTTTGTTGACACATGTATATGTTTAGGGAATGAAGAGCTGCTGTGGCTGGCATGTGAGAGTGTGTGCAGGTGATGTTCCCGTGAAGGGCTGATTTGAGAGTGGTGAGCTGTACTGTGATAGGGCTGGCAGGCATCTTGGATGTTTGTATCAGGACTGTGCACATGTATTCAGATAGATACTACCTTTAGTATAATTTTGTTTAAAATGTTCACTGCTGAGTTTTAGGGATTCTGGAAAAGTCTACTTCAGTGGTTCTTAACCTTTCTTTGGAGTCACGGAAGCCTTTAGGACCCTCTTCTCGGTGAAATAGACACACATAATTTTGTATGCAATTACAATCATCTTGAGCCTGGTCCTGGGACCTCAGGTTAAGATCTATATTATGCAAAAGTGAAAGGAATTTGAGTTTTGTGTTTTGCTTTGTTTTGTTTGTCTCTGGAGGATTGGCATTACTTTGATCCTGAGCAATAAGCAACAAAGTAGATTAAATATGTATCCTTGCGTTCTGTTCTTTGATTACAGTGAGTTAGGTATTTGTAAGGTATCATTTGCCTGTCTTCCTGTAAAGAGATGTATGTGAGAGTTTAAGAAAAAGTTAAAACTGAACTCAAAATAACTTGCCTAAATTTGACCAGTTGATAACGTATATTCCTTGCACTATCTTCTAAATGTAGTAAATTTCAACAACAGTCAGTGGTCTGTTTTGTGATGCGTATCTGGAATTGTTTTGTGTTCTTTGAGGTTGATCTCATCTCTTAAAAGAAGGCCTTATCATTCCCCTAATAGAGCACCTGCTCTGTGAATGTTTTTCAACTTTATTAAATATGATTTCATGTCTTTTTTCAGGTGATGTTGCCATCAGAATCATCCATTTTTAAATGTTTTAATGGAAGGATTTTCAATAAACGTGATTGAAGTGGCTTATATTACAGGTTATATATTTTTTTCATGTCATGCCTAAAGTTTTACTGTCAGAAATTATTTGCCTATCCTAAACTCAAAAGTATTTCAAAGTTGCAAATTTGTTGCTTTTCTCTGTCAGTGTAGTATAGTGACAAATCATTAAAATCTCAGGGGACAGTGTGTGCTTCCTTGATTTAATATTGCAGAACCTCTTCTAACCAGTCACTTACTTAAACACCCACACACCACAAAGCAGCTGATCATGTAACTCATATGGCTGTGAGAACAGCATTCTCTCTGCCAGATTCAGAGCTTGGAAGCTGGAAAACAATTGCATAGCAGTGAAACACTTACGGAGTAGTGGTGCCAGCAGCTCACTCTCATTAATACAAACAGCTTTTGCTTTAGTTTCTTCAATGCTCTTTGTCAGACACCCTTCTTCAGACACCCTTCCCTTGGGAGGTTTCAGATCAGCAGCTCCTACTCAAGGGAAACAGCACCTACTTTCTGCAACTGTGGCCTCAAGATCTGATTCGTGACACCCAGAGCTGTTTCCATTTCTGCTCTAAGTATGGGAAGTAATCTTGTAGTGTGGTAAGAAGATACTTTTCAAGTCTGTAGAAAAAAGTTGATTAGTAATGCTGCGGATGTGATTTTGTTTTGGAATGTCTGAAGCCTATCAAAGAAGTAAACTGTAAAAGTGAATTGCTTCAAGAAATCACCTTTTTCTCAAGAGTTTTAGAAAATTTCACCAAAAATGTGAATACACTCTTGAGTTTCATTTCCCTTGTTCCAAAAAGTCAGTTGATTTTGAATCATAGCCTTTGGAACTAGTTATTCTGAAGGAGGTGACTGAGCTTCCTCGCTGGGAAATCCTGGGTCTTGTGCCATGGTTTTAGGTATGATATTTTTCTCATCTTTGTCATCATTTCAGACAGTTGGCCCTTGAATTTACTTTGATAAAGGAGAGCTGCTGTTGGAGTTAGTGACTTTAGCTGAGGGAGGATCACAGAGGTGGCTCTTTGGAGCCAGGGAGAACGAAGTTTGAATAAAGCGCCACTGGCTTTATGGCATTATACAAGTCACCTTGACCTCTCCAGCCTCAGTTTCCTCATCAGAACAGGATTTGTTATAGGTATTAGAGATAATGTATGCAAACTTCTAGAACAGTTCCTGGCACATATGCACATTAAGGACTCAATAAATGGTAGGACACAAGTGATGTGGGAGTGAAACTACAGATCATTTTGGCTTCCAGGATTTAGGGGGCTGGTTCTGCGATCTGCATACTTTCATCTGTGCTGATTTGGGATGAAAAAATTGCAAATATTTGACTTGGAGCATACCTAAGACTTGCAGGTGCACTGTGCTTATTGGAACTTTGATTTGTTGCTCTATGGCTGGCTGAACTTCGTGGAGACAATAAAACTTGGCTCCAAATTCTACAGTGTTACCCACAGGCTGTGCTTGTTTTAAGCCTTTACAGAGCTTATGCGGTGAAAGGGGTGTTTTAGGACATTAATGTAGCTCAATAAGTTCTGTGTCCAGAGTTGAATCACGTGCAAAGCCTTGTGTAAATTTTCATGGTTAATGCAAGCCATAAAGTGCTTGGTAGAATCAGTGAAGACATCAGATGCTTTAGTTAATCTGTTTGTTTATATAGCAGTTACCTTTGATTTTTGAAGACACTTATGAACATTTTTTCTTAAAGAATCCCCATTGCTCTTCTGAGGTTTTTAGTCAGAAAGGCAGTTTTATGGTAAAATATGACATTATCTTTTTCCTTTTTTAAATATAGTTTAAGAGACTGGTTACTCTGAAAAGTAGTTTCAAGAGCATGTATACAGCTTTATTCAGTGCATAGAGCTTTTAAAATAGGATTTCTTGGGTTCTATAGAATTAAATTATTCTGTCATTTTTGCAGAATATCACTGTGTTAAGTCTATGAACCCACCAAAGTTAGCTAGAGACTTTTCAGATAAGGTAGACCCATCAGTAATGCATTAGAATTTACCTCAAGGGAATCTGCTAAGCCTTATTTTCTTTTATTATTGAGCCACCTAGGGGCTTGCCCATCAGTGGAATCAGTCACTAGTATTGGGTTGCTGATAAAGAGGGATTGGCAAATAATGGTCTTAGACTCTCCTTAGACTTTGCAGAACACTTGAAAGAACTTAACCTCGGCCAGAATGTATAATATTAATAACACCATCATTAATGCTGTGTGAGCCCAGACTGACTAAACAAATGAAATTTAGATGATTGAGTTACATATTTTTTTCTCAACTATAATACATTTTGCTAAGTAAAATTTTTCTTGGAAAGGGGTGCTATTTTTTTTAATTACTATTTTTTCTAGTTTACTAGAGTCAAATGGCTTAGCAGATAGCTAGTTGCTTTTGTCAGTTTCCTGATAGATGAATCAGTGTGTGGTGAGAAGGGTTTGTTGGAAGAGAGTAAGAATGGAAATGATGCCAAGAATGGCTCCTTAGCCTGATTTTTTGGTCTTTACTACGCATGTGGCGTCAGAGGGTTGTGACTCTACCTGGATTTCACCAAGATATGCAGTGGTAGGTGATTCCTTTTGTCTTTAATGCTAGTGTAGAATATAGTCTTTTACACATTTATACTTTTCAGCTTTGGAGTTTTGATTCAGTTTGGGGAATTCAATGGAATATAACTTCTTAATTATACTGTGTGAGCTATAAAATGAGTTCTCTAACTAGGTCCTTATGAATTGTTTTCACCCTTCTGAATGTATCATTTTAATAGATCTAGAGTAGTATCAGTGGCCTAGAAACATTGAAATACATGGGAAGTGTTTCATTTTTTGAGGGGGTGGCAAGGAGAGTGTTTATGATCTCAGTTTTGTGCATAAATAAATA